AAGAAATTAATATAATAATTAGAATATTTTTAAAAGATTGAGATCTTTATATTCATAAACAAATTTTCCTTATAAGACATATTTTTTATTTAGCATTAATATAGTTTCCTAAATGATAGGAATCTGGTGTATATTATTGAAATATTTGAAAAATATTTAACAAAAAATTTGGCAAGTATCCGATTGAAAATTTAACCCGGAATTTTTTGAAAAACCCGACCCGAATCCCTTTTGTACTTCTCTTTTACTATAGTAGGGATTATAAATTATGTTTGTAAAGAAAATCTCTATTGAAATAAAGAAAAAATAAATAAATATATTTTTGTAGTATATAACTATAAAAATATGTAGTATAACTTATAGGATTAATTGGAAAAGTAGTACATCTTAAAAACATAATTATAAAACTAATACATATACTATTTATAATTAGGAAAGTAGTACGTTTTCACTATTTGATACTATTTCAATGACTTTTAAGGAATCTGAAAACAGCTTATTTACGAATATGCCATTAGAATAATTATATAATATAATTTGTACATCATATTTTCTGTACAGTTATACAAAAATATATTTATGTACAATAATAAAAATACTACATAATATTATATGTACAACTTATAAGTGTACAATTGTACATAAATATTCATATTTATGTACACTTTTTCTAGCTATATGAATAAAAATGTATAAATTTTTATATTTCCGTACAATCAATAAACTGTACGTATACATCTGTACAGTTAATCAGATGTACATATACGTTTGTTCATATATTAAACTGTACAAATACGTCTGTACACATAATAAATTGTACAAATACGTCTGTACACATACTAAATTGTACAAATACGTCTGTACATATACGTTTGTACATATACTAAACTGTACAAATACGTCTGTACACATACTAAATTGTACAAATAAATATATAAATATGAAATTTATTTAAAATTAATTTAGCAAAATGCATATCAAATTAAAGAGAAAAAAACATGGATTTTTATGTATCAAAAAAGTTTTAAAAACCAAAGTTATAATCCCTAATATTTCAATTATTAAAAATTTGGGGTGATGATAATAAACAAAATATTTAAAAAAATAATTAAAAAAAAAGGAAAAAAAAAATCGGGAGAACAAAAAAAAAAATACACTTTTGTCATTTTCCCCCTTCTTCTTTATCTCTATTTCACATAATCTCTATCTCATAATGTAGGTCATACGACTACTTTCCTAATTTTGAATAGTGTATGTACTATCTTTCCAATTATGTTTTTTAAAATGTACTAAAATTCCAATACACCCTAACTTATATAGTATTATGTTTTTGAATTTCGTTTTAATAATTTTAGTTCTTAATGTTGTTCTCATAAGAGTATGCTGATAAGATTTGTCACACTTTTGATGCGACTTGATCATTTCGAATTCTTGGTCAACACTTATGTGTAAATTCACTTAATGTTTATTATGTGTTTTACCTCAAATTTACACATAAGTGCTGATCAAACCTCATCAAAAGTGTGACAAAGAGTCTTCAAGAAATCGATTTCAAGTTACCAATTCGTTGCTGCGTGCATAGATGATCTTAGTCTTTTCTTCAAAGTCAGATCATATCGATCCTACAAATACTCAAAATTCATCAATTATGTTGAGTAGGTTTATATACTCCAAAAGGGTTAAGGAAAGCCATACTAATTACTTAATTAATATGATTAAAACGTGTTGTAACTTGTAAGGTTACTCTTAATAATTGAAATACTCATTCACCAAACACAATTTAAACCAAGAAATATTATTTCTAGAATGATTTCATGACTTACATTATATCAAAGTTTGATCATTCACTTAGTTTTTCAGTGTCTATTTCTCTTATTTTTCTTCCTTCTCCTTCACTTCTCCCTCTATCTTCTTGTCTTTCTTCTCAGCTTCTTCTGCCTTCTTCTTCTTTTTCGATTCCTTCTCCACTTTCTTCTTCTCTTCTTCCTCAGCCAACTTCCTAGCTTTCTCCTTCTCTTCCTCTAAAGTCTTGACCAAACGTTTGATGCAAATATCAGCATCTTCTTCATCAGATTTTGGCATCAATGTCTCGGCAACATAAGCTGGAGACATATCAGTTTCCTCTAGCAATCTCTTGATTTCTCCATACAAGTCATGTGACTCAATCTCCAAGTAGTTCTTAGCCAAAACCTTGAACCCTTCAAACTTGCAATAAGACATCTCAATGTGGTTGTCCATTCTTCCTCTACGTATCAATGCCGGATCAAGCTTATCCACAAAATTAGTCGTAAAGACAATAATCTTCTCTTCACTACAAGCTGACCATAACCCATCTATACCATTTAATAACCCTGACAATGTCACTTTACTCTTGTTCTCATCTTTCTTCTTCTCCTCCTCAGCTTCCTTTTTCTTCTTATTCTTCTTCTCATCATCATCATCATCGTCGTCTTCTTCCTCCTTTGTCTTCCTCCTCTGCCCCGTGAAAGCAAGAGAGCAATCAATATCTTCAATCACAATGATACACTTCCCTGTCGTATCCAACAACAACCTTTTCAACTCTGAGTTATCCTTAACTGTTGTCAGCTCAAGATCATACACATCATACTCCAAGAAATTCGCCATTGCCGATATCATTGTCGATTTCCCTGTCCCGGGCGGTCCAAACAAGAGATAACCTCTCTTCCACGGCTTCCCAACCTTCTTGTAATAATCTTTCCCTTTACTAAACTTTATCAAATCCTTCTTGATCTCTTCTTTCTTCACAGGATCCATAGCTAGAGTCTCGAACGTGGCTGGATGATGAAAAGGAACATTTCCCCACCTCCCTTCCACGTAATAAGACCAATCTCCACTCGAGTTATTAGTGTAAAGCTTCCTCTCTCTATTCCTCAACCCTATCACTTTACCTTCTCTCAAAACATGCTCCATATATCTATCTACAATCATCCCTCTATGCCGCCTATGGAAACTTAGCGTAAAGTATCTTCTCTCCCTCATTTTAGTCTTAGTACCGCTCTTTTCCACGCTCGAGTACCACTTCACTTTCACACCTTCAAACACATCTTGAACCTCCTCGTGATCGTCCATACTAAGCACCAAAGATCTCATGTTTCTAGACTCGTTGGCTTTTAACTTCTGAGCACGAGCCATTGAGTTTGCCGATAGGTAATGACGTATCGAGTCATAGGCTTTGCTTCTCTGGAGACCTTCACCGGTATGGTCACTAAACTTGATCGAGACCCATCCCATCATCTTGTAGATGAACTTCTCGATGTAAGCTTGGAGTTCATTTGGCACAAACTGTCTGAACATTGACCAAAAGAACATAAGGCTCGCCATTGTTGTGCCGGCGAATCCCCACATTGCTCCGGTCGTCGCTGGAATCATTGTCAAATGTTTTTGTTTGCTTCCCACGGAAACTATTTGCTTACCTTTTTCTTGTTTAAGTATACGTAAGCATGCATGATCACTTTTATAAAAATAATGTCCGCATGCATTCTTATTAATTGGTAATTTTTCTTACCATTAATTGTATGTAACCACGAGAAAGCATTTAAACTGAATCTTTTGAGTAGATATATAATATTTGAATACTCAAATAAGCATATTTAAATCTTGCATTTTTAAATAAAATTCAAACAAACCCTTATTTATACAACTAGTCTCCCTCCGCAGTAAAATTTCTGACCATAAAACAAAGAAAGAGGACAAGTCATCAAGGTGGTTCAGACATTAAGGGTTTAATTAGTATCAAATCTCTTCATAACATAACATGATATGTTGTCAGGGACGGACCCACAGCCAAGATGGTGGGGGCATCTGCCACCAGCAAAAAAAAAAAAAAATTATTAAAAAATTATTAAATATTATTAGAAAATAAAATCTGTCCCCACCAAAAAAACCTACTTTTCATCTTTTTTCTTGAAAAGCCCATTAATTCATGTCCTAAAAAAATATATATTAATATAAATTAAAGACTTACTAATCTAAATCTAATTTTTTGTTATTTTCTTCTTCTTTAGTCATTTGGTTTATTTGTGTGACAACAAATCAACAATTATCAATTTGTAAGTTTATTTTCCTGCTTTTTTTACAATCGTTTCTATTATATAAGCATTATTTTTTAGTCAGTTAATTTTATTTAATCAGTTAAGTTTATAACTATGTTTCCTGGAAAACTTTATATAGGTTTTTATGTTATACATGACTATATTAGTTTTTGCAGTGATAATTGTTTATGTGTTTATTCTATGGTTAAGCTTTTATGGAAGTTTGTTACATAATTCAAAAATTTAAAATTAATAAATTTTAAAATATAAGTCTATAAATTCAAAATTTTCTAAATTTTTAATTAATAACATGTTTTTTTGTTTTTAATTATTTGAATCTGTCACAAATGAAAATGTGGTAAAAAGGTTTCAATTGTTAAATGAGCGTCTGAGTGGTTTTGTAAGATGTTTTAAAGTTTTTACATGACAATTTTATGTCTTTTATAATTTAGTATTTGATAGTTTTTTTAATATATTTTTGCCCCCATTGAACAAATTTTCTAGATCCGCCCCTGTATGTTGTGTCAGGATATTACAAAAACCCTTTTGTTTGTCAAACGCAAAAATAACACAAATGGTTCATTATAGTGAGAAAGAAAGAAAAAAAGGCTTACATTGTTACCAGGCCAGAGTTGGTAGATCCTCTTGGGTTTATGATGATCGTGAGAAAACATAGTTTCATCGTCGGAAGGAGCACTATGAACATGACAACTTTTCTTCCTCCCCATCACCATTCACCAATATCTTCCTCTTCTTATTGATCTGGTTTCTCAAGCCTCAAGCCTCATAATCTAATTGTTCATATACTTGGCACCTAATTTTTTTAACAATCTTCATATCCTAACCTAGTTTAATACTTTCTCTGTTTCATTATAAGTGATGTTTTAGCCAATTTTTTTTGTTTCAGTATAAGTGATGTTTTCAATTTTCTATGCAAAAATTTAATGTATTTAATATTTTTTGACCAATTATATTTTACATCATATTTTCTTATTGGTTGAATTCATATTAGTTAATGATGTTTTTATGGAAAAGAGGTAAATTATATGTTTTATTATTTAGTGTGCCAAAACCTTAAACATCACTTATAATGAAATAGAGGGAGTATTGATAGTGGATTCACATATTAATATACAAAGAGGGAGAAAACATATGAAAAGCGTAATAAGAAAAATTAAGTAGCTTTCTCATTATATAGATTTTAAAAAATTAACTAAACATGGGTAAAACAAATCGGGGAAAATGTTATTTAAATCCCGAACTTACAAATTTTGGCCATTTTAATCCTCGACTTCCACTGTGGCCATTAAAATCATAGACTTCTCGTTGACGTTATTTTTAAATCACTATTTTCTGTTGATTGAGTCAGATTGAGCATGTCGTCAAATCAAATTCTCTAACAGAGGAGTTAACAACCGTTTAGGATCGTTAATCGATCTTTGTTAAGTCGAAAAATGAGAATCACAAGGACAAACGACGTCGATTTGGGGATTTAGGCATATCGTTTAAGGCAGCACGACGTCGTTTGTCCTTGTGATTCTCATTTTTCGACTTAAAAGAGATTAATCAACGATCCTAAACAGTTGTTAACTCTTCTGCTAGAGGATTTGATTTAAAAATAACTTCAACGAGAAGTCTATGATTTTTATAGTCACAGTAGAAGTCGAGGATTAAAATTGCCAAAATTTATAAGTTCGGGATTTAAATAACATGTTTCTCAAACAAATCATATAATTAACTATATACTATCTCACCAGTTACGTTCAAACGCAATTACTAATTAGGTACAAAAAGATGCCTATTTTATGTTATAACAAGATCATATATCTTAATTACTTGCCACAACTAATATGATCCTATATATATCTCTATAATAACTACAATATAGAGACGAATTCTTAATAATATCAATCAATATTAATCCTTCTACCAAAAACAAATCAGTCAATATTAATCACTGAGATTTTGACTATCACACATGGGCAAGTAATTAATGGAATAGATACATCCTTGATCTTCTTTAGTGTGTATATATATAATCATTAGTCCAAACAAAGAAGAAGAATAAAGTTAAGAGACTATAAGAAAAAAAATGGCTATCACCACGAAAAGTTTAATTTCATTTGTTTTCACTGTCATCCTCATCGTATCTTATGTTAATTGTCGTATGACAACTTCTGCTCGTAGCCCTGCTGGTATGTATTTTGGTTTATTTTTATATTCTCATTTTATTTTAATTGTGAACAAAATTTTATTATGTTTTCATTGAAAATATATACATTGAGTTAATTAATTGTTTTTTAATTAATAAAAATACAATAGGTTATGGAATAAAGCAGCAGGATAGACAATGCTTCGACGATACAGAAGACTACTTATGTAATACTGGAGATGCAAAATGTCGTCGTTATTGTATAGATCTTGGTTATGCTTATGGTCACTGTTTTTTCAAGCCTGTTGCTTGTTGTTGTCAGATTTTCTGACAAATTACAATATCATTTAATTAAATAGAATGTCTTGTTATTTGCTTCAACAAATAACATCATTAATTATTTTTAAATGTTTTGAATATAGATAAAAATCGAAGATAAAATAAATTAACTTTACTAAATCGAAATTTAGTTGATTAAATTTGAGCAATAGCTTCTCTAATTAGAACAAAACATACAATTAGACTGAAATTTATCGAAATGAAATATTTTAAGGAAATAATTAAGGAAATCTCTATTATGTTATAGGCTCCGACTGGTAACATTTTTGATGTATTGGATACAACTAGGGACAATCCGGGCTACGCCCAGTCTATTTTTTACTGTGTTTTTTTTTATTGGTTTTTGACGCATGAATATTTGGTTATAATTTTTTGTTAGTTTTTAAAATTATTTACTATCCTTATTATGTTTGTTAATTGCGTTTGTCTTTTTTTACCTAGTATTTTAGGTTTTCTTCCCTAATACTTTGTAAAAACACAATTACATAGTAGCATTCGAGATTTCTGTAACTATTTTCTATTTTTTTCTCCGTTATGTTTCTTTGAGATAATAATTTGTTTTAGTTAAATCTGATCCATATCTTGATGTTTTATATATGTGATCTCTATGTGTCTTGTTTGCTTCAATCAAAGTACGCTTAATCGCTACGCTGGTTTAGAGTATTTTTATATATTTTTTTCCTCCACAAAAACTCACCATTAACCATTGACCCGGTGAACCGGTTGATCCGGTCGGGTTATGGTTAAAAAATTATTTGATTTTGGAAGTAAAATATAAAAAAATTTAGTTTGTTTTGGAAGTTATACTTTTTTACTTATTAAACGGTACACAAACACACTTAAAATTAGTTGTTATGAATTTATGATGTTTTATTAGTGTTCTTTTGGTTTTATATGGATATAGTTTTTTTTTATCTCTTTACTATTACTGTTAGTTTTTATATTTTGTTAAATTTGATATGATTATTTTTATTTTTATATTTACAAAACTGTATAATTTATATAAAATCATCGATAAATTTTAATTAATTGACCCGTGGTCGAATCCGGTAAGTCCAATAACCCGGTGACCTAAAAGGTAGTCTGGTTCGGTTTAAAAATATTGGATTAAACTGAAGCCTTTAATAAATTGATCAATTGTTCTAAATTTCTTTTAGGGAACAAAAAAAAGATAAAGCATTTTTAATATACATTTTTTGGTTTAATTATTTGCTGACATGGCATTCTCTAGATGAATTTCTTTCTGCCGAGGTGGACACTCTCAAATGCCTCAAATTGTCCCTTTTATTAATATAAATAGATTACACTGGTTGAAGATCACGGCAGAGATGAGCGAGGAGGGTAACACATAGGCCCATATAGATAACACATCAAAGAAAAGTGTTGGACTGCGTGAAAAAATTGTGGGCTAGGCCTATATAGACAACAAATAATTCGGGTTAAATATAATATAGTTTTTAGTTTAATATATGAAGTTTTGGGTTATAAAATTGGAAAGTTTTTACAAAATACGACAAATTTTCTTTTATTTTTTTGTAAAATACATTTTTTTTATCCTGAATAATACCTCGTATTTTCAATTATTTGTCGATTAGTACTCAATATGGCCCTATTAGAAATGTTTCAAGCTAAAACATAATTGAAAATATTGTTATGTTTTAAATGAAGCGAAAAAAAATCTGAGCTAAACTATTTATAGAAGAAAAATAAACTTATCTTTTTGACTCTTCCAATAATACATGAACTATTAAACATTTCCTAGTTATTAGATAAACGAAAACGACCGGTGAGTTTTGCATAGTTTTTTCACATATGGTGATTATAATTTAGAAATTCTATTTCACTCTAGTTATTCCTTTAAAAAATATTTTTGAAAATATATACCTATATGATCTCAAAATATACATATTGTTAAATTTTGAAAAATGTGGTTTGATTTTGGTTTTAGAATATCATATCATTTCATTGGTCAAAATTTGAATTCTTGTGTTAATTGTTAAAATCTGGAAAATATATATTGCTAAATAATGTATGTTTTCATATATAATTTAATTTGATGGGAAAGAAAAGTGGAAGTAGTAGACAAAGATGGAGGAGGAAGGCATGATTTTGTAGTGTGTTATGTAAGTTCAAGGATTGAAAAATTTTTATGACGATAGATAATAAGAGAAAAAACGGAGATTTATAGGAGGTATGTCGGATAAAAGACATGCCTGAGAGGTGTGAGGGATGATTACGATAAAAATGGTTAATTAATAGAATATTATTATTTTGTGTATTAAATAATTATCTTTTTGTAGTGCAAGGATTATTTGGGAAGCCAAAAAAATATGTGTAATGTATTTATCTTGTACAAGAAAATTTAGTTGGTGTATTTTTGGCGTTTAAAACCTTACAACACTAATCAATTTGGTTAGTCTTGTTAAAAGTGGTATAGCATGTGTTTGAAATCGGAAATATTTCAAAAAATCAAAATTAGCGGACAAAAAATTAAAAATGAAGTATTATTTGTGTAGCAAAAATGTTCATGTTTTTCTTCCAAAAAGAAGTTGAAGTATATTTGGTGATTTTCTTTTCATAAAATTAATATAATATTCATAGATGGTTAAAACATTATCAAAGAAATGCCAACTACTCTTGCATTAGATATAAACAATTTTTTCAAAGAAAATAACAACAAATTGTACAAAATGACGAACAATACATGTGGACAATTTACTGATACAAATTTATTTATGAAGTTTAGAATACACTTTCTAAAATTTATAATTGATATTTTATACATTCTGCATGTGCTACTTAATATATATTATGTATTTTACAAACTCATCATGTTCTACCAAATTTATAAGTTTTTTTTTCTTTTACGGTTATTTAGAATACCAATCTCAATAAAAAATTTAAATACATGTTCTAATATATACTCATGTCCTAACTCCTAACAATGTTAAAATGTTAGAAAACGTATTCTTAAAATTTATAATACTAATAAGTAATAACATAACAAAAGAATAACAAAATTCAATGTTAAAAAAGGAAATTTAGCAAAATTCAAAGTTTTCTCATATATTTTTAAATCCAAAAAACTAAAGACTAAACGTAACCCCTTAAATACTATACTTTAAATGCAAAATAGTAAATCCAAACCTTAAAATATTCTAAAAACTAATATAAAGTATTGTAGTTATGTCAATTAATGCTATTATAAAAAATTTGTGTAGTGTGAATTTGTTCATAAAGCTTGTTTTTAGTGTTTTTTTTTTTTTTTGTCAACGCTTGTTCTTAGTGTTATGTTATTATATTTCGCTATTTCTCATTAATGTTTTCATTTTTGTTAATAAGTTGTTATGAAATTGAGTTTTATTCCTTTTTCTTTATTTTTTTATTCCTTATTTCTCTGTTAATAATTTACTTCAGCTCATTATTTCTTTTGCTATTGAGTTTGTATTCCTTTTTCTTTCTTTTTTTTTTGTATTGACTTTTCAAGTCTAACAAACAAATACATTTTTTAATTTATGAATTATCCAATGTACATCAAAGTTGACTTTTACCATTCATATCATGTTTAAATTTTAAACACATATACTTGCAGTTATAATATTTTTCAATAATGGTTAAGTTAATCATTGGAATGACTTTGTTTAGTCACCAATAATTATTTGACAATGGACAGAACGACAAAGCCAGCACAAATGATAACATCAATAAGGTTCCTAGAGCTATCAGAGCACAACCACATTGCCTCATTGCCTCATTCTTAAAGAGAGTGGCAAACACGTTGGGGTTTTAATTCTTCCATGGACAAACAAACTTATCATTGACAAAACATTTTAGTTCAAAAAATTGATATTAAACTAGTTAGTTGACCAAAATGGTATATCAACATGGTACATCAATGTTGATAATTGCTAAATATAAAATTGGAAGTGGCTTGTAACGTTCTCTAAACGTTCTTGCACGTCTCACACAGACATGCTTACACGATCCATGACACCAGGGAATGTGTAGCTGTACTTAGAGAAAAGCTTTTGCTATATAAACCCATGCACCCATACTTAACAATACAAACCAAAACAAGAAACACTTACCAACGTAGTTAAGCGTTGGTGGAGAAAAGCTAAATCAAGATGAGATCTTCTTATAAGATGGGACCTTCTGCCCATCTCATTTCCGCTCTAGGAGTTATCATCATGGCAACAATGGTTGCTGCATATGAGCCATACACGTACAGTTCTCCACCACCGCCATATTCTGCACCATCTCCTAAAGTAGAATATAAATCACCCCCAACACCATATGTTTCTCTACCACCACTTCCGTCTGTCACTCCATCGCCTGAGGTTGACTATAAATCTCCTCCACCACCGGCTTACAGTTCTCCACCACCACCATATTACTCTCCTTCCCCAAAGGTTGACTACAAGTCTCCTCCACCACCATATGTTTACAGTTCTCCACCACCACCATACTACTCTCCATCACCAAAAGTAGACTACAAATCTCCCCCTACACCATATGTCTACAGCTCCCCACCACCACCGTACTACTCTCCAGCCCCTAAGGTTGACTACAAGTCTCCTCCACCACCATATGTTTACAGTTCTCCACCACCACCATACTACTCTCCAGCCCCTAAGGTTGACTACAAATCTCCTCCACCACCGTATGTCTACAGTTCCCCACCACCACCATACTACTCTCCAGCTCCAAAGGTCGACTACAAATCTCCTCCACCACCGTACGTCTACAGTTCCCCACCACCACCGTACTACTCTCCGTCCCCAAAGGTTGACTACAAGTCTCCTCCTCCACCATATGTCTACAGTTCTCCACCACCACCATACTACTCTCCAGCTCCTAAAGTATACTACAAGTCCCCTCCACCCCCATATGTTTACAGCTCCCCACCACCACCATACTACTCTCCATCCCCTAAGGTTGTGTACAAATCTCCTCCTCCCCCATATGTTTACAGTTCCCCACCACCAGCGTACTACTCTCCATCGCCTAAGGTGGATTACAAGTCTCCTCCACCACCATATGTTTACAGTTCCCCACCACCGCCATACTATTCTCCATCCCCTAAGGTAGCCTACAAGTCTCCTCCACCACCATATGTGTACAGTTCTCCACCACCACCATATTATTCACCTTCACCTAAAGTACACTACAAATCTCCTCCACCACCATATGTTTACAGTTCTCCACCACCTCCATACTACTCACCTTCTCCTAAAGTACACTACAAATCTCCACCACACCCACATGTATGTGTGTGTCCACCACCTCCTCCATGTTATTCCCCATCTCCAAAGGTCGTATACAAGTCTTCTCCTCCCCCATACGTCTATAACTCTCCACCACCACCATATTACTCTCCATCTCCTAAGGTTGTATACAAGTCTCCTCCACCACCATATGTTTACAGTTCTCCACCACCACCATATTACTCTCCAACACCTAAGGTTCACTACAAGTCTCCTCCACCACCGTATGTTTACAGCTCTCCACCACCACCATACTATTCTCCATCCCCTAAGGTTGTATACAAGTCTCCTCCTCCTCCATATGTCTATAGTTCTCCACCACCACCATACTACTCTCCATCCCCTAAGGTAGACTACAAGTCTCCTCCACCACCATATGTTTACAGTTCCCCACCACCACCGTACTACTCTCCATCCCCTAAGGTTGTATACAAGTCTCCTCCTCCACCATACGTCTACAGCTCTCCACCACCACCATACTACTCTCCATCCCCAAAGGTAGACTACAAGTCTCCTCCACCACCATATGTTTACAGTTCCCCACCACCACCGTACTATTCTCCATCCCCTAAGGTTGTATACAAGTCTCCTCCTCCACCATACGTCTACAGCTCTCCACCACCACCATATTACTCTACGAGCCCCTAAGGTTGACTACAAGTCTCCCCCACCACCGTATGTTTACAGTTCTCCACCACCACCATACTACTCGCCAGCCCCTAAGGTAGACTACAAGTCTCCTCCAGCACCATACGTCTACAGCTCTCCACCACCACCATATTACTCTCCCGCCCCTAAGGTTGACTACAAGTCTCCCCCACCACCGTATGTTTACAGTTCTCCACCACCACCATACTACTCGCCAGCCCCTAAAGTAGACTACAAGTCTCCTCCACCACCCTATGTTTACAGCTCTCCACCACCACCATACTACTCTCCATCCCCTAAGGTAGATTACAAGTCTCCTCCACCACCATATGTTTACAGCTCCCCACCACCACCATCATACTCTCCATCTCCTAAGGTAGACTACAAGTCTCCTCCACCACCATATGTTTACAGTTCCCCACCCCCACCGTCATACTCACCTTCTCCAAAAGTTGAGTACTAAGCTTCACCCCCACCTTCCTATTTCTTGAAACAGAAAATGTGGATTCTTAAATAAGCTACTGAGTTTCAGTTGATGTAATACTTTCTTTTGTTCTTGTTGCTACTTGTATCCTATAATTTTTAATTTTCTTGGTACTGATTTTTATATTTTGTAATGAAACCTTCACTTGGTTTCATCTGTTTTCTTTGATTTGTATAATGGTTGCTTGCAATCTATATGAAGTCCTCTAAAAATTTGAACTTTATAGTCCGTACGCTTGAAGGCAATCCTTAAACACGAGTCTTGTATATGGACTGCATACCTAAATTACATGTATTATTTTTATTTTATTATGTTTTTAACGTTTAAAATCCTTAAGTATTTAACTCAAGGATGTTTTGTTTTCCTAATCACCTAAATCTGGTATAGATAATATATAAAGAATACTCTAAAGAAAAACTATTACGAGTAACACATCAATTAAAATGTGTAATCATAAAAATTATAACAATTAATACAGAGTGTCCTTTTTATATTAATACTTGGAAAAACAAAGTGATGAATTGTTGGTGTCCAAAATCTTATTTTTCGTTCTTCAGGATTTCATTTTCATGCAAGAAGTTCAATTCTCACATAAATGTTAGCATATGATATGGTTAGGTTATCGAATTCTAAAATGCTACACACTTTTATATGTCACAAGTGCAATATAGCTAACATATATCTTTATAGTATGCACATAGTGTACTGTTAAGCCGCAAAGAGTGTAGAGATCATTGGAACATTACGAGCTGATTTGGTTTTGGCTAAAGATATAGATTACACATAGAAATTTATTTAGTTTCCTTTTAAACTTAGTTGACAACACCATACTAAACGTTCAAAACACAACCTAAATTAAAGACTCATGAACTATGCTTCAATCTTTCTTAACACTATCTTGAGCAACATAGCCAGTTTCCTCTATTTCCTTATTTTTCTTTTGTTCTTCCTCTGTTTTTTTCTTCTTCTTCCTCCTCTCATCTCTCTCTGCCTTCTTCTTCTTTTCTTCCTCGGCCAACTTCTTGGCTTTCTCCTTCTCCTCCTCCAAAGACTTAACCAAACGCTTAAGACAAACATATGCATCGTCTTCATCAGATTTTGGCATCAAATTCTCAGCGACATCAGCTGGAGACATGTCGGTTTCCTCCAACAACCGCTCAATTTCTCCATACAAGTTATGTGACTCAATCTCCAAGTAGTTCTTAGCCAAAACCTTGAATGCTTCAAATCTACAATAAGACATCTCAATGTGGTTGTCCATTCTTCCTCTACGTATCAATGCTGGATCAAGATTATCAACAAAGTTGGTTGTAAACACTATGATCTTCTCTCCACTACAAGCTGACCATAACCCATCAATGGCGTTTAATAAACCTGACAAAGTAACCTTACTCTCCCTCTCACTTCTTTCTCTCTTCAACAACTTCTCAGCTTCCTTCTTCTTTTCTTCATCTTCTTCATCCTCATCTTCCTCCTTCTTCTTCTTTCTTTGGCCCGTAAGATCAAGCGAACAATCGATATCTTCAATCACAACAATAGACTTCCCTTTTGTGTCCAACATTAGCTTCTTCAACTCCGAGTTATCCTTCACCGTAGTGAGCTCAAGATCATATACATCATACTCCAAGAAGTTCGCTATTGCAGCTATCATCGTAGATTTCCCTGTCCCGGGCGGTCCAAACAAGAGATAACCTCGTTTCCATGGCTTCCCAACCTTCATATAGTAATCTTTCCCTTTAGTAAACTTTATCAAATCCTTCTTGATCTCATCTTTCTTTTCAAGATCCATAGCCAAAGTCTCGAACGTAGCAGGATGTTCAAAAGGAACGTTGCTCCATCTTCCTTCCCTCCAAGAGGAATAATCTTGACTTGAATTATTAGTGTAAAGCTTCCTCTCTCTGTTCTTTAACCCAATCTCTTTCCCTACTCTCATAACATGATCAAGATAAGTCGTTGTGATCATATCTCTATCCCGGTTGTGGAAACTTAGAGTCAAGTACCTTTTCTCGGTCGAATTAGATTCATTATCACTCTTCCTCACACTCAAAGACCATACCACCTTCACACCTTGGAACACATCTTCAACTGCTTCATGATCATCCAAACTAAGCACCAACGACTTGCTGTTTTTGGATTCATTGGCCTTTAACCTTTGTGCACGAGCGGTCGATTTCGAGGACAAGTAGTTGCGGATGGAGTCATAAGCTTGGCTTTTCTTGAGACCTTTATCTTCTGTATATTCAGTAAATCTGATGTGAACAGAGTTTGAGACCAAACCAATCATCTTGTAAAAACATTTCTCCAAGTAGTCTCTGATTTGGTACGGCACAAACTGTCTGTACATTGACCAGAAGAACATAAGACTCGCCATGGTCGTGCCGGTGAAACCCCATATTGAACCGGCCTCAAGCATCTTTGTGTGTTTGTTTAATTCTCTTGGTGACTTTGAGTTGTGCTTTCACTATAGGAATCTTTAAAAGTCTTTAGTGGTTAGGTGTAGAGAAGTAGATCTTATACGTAGGCTTTGCTCATGTGAACGTGTGACTTGTGTGTGAGAAACTTAAAGTCATTATTGTTAGAAAAAAATCAGGAAAGAAAAATATTGTAACCACTCATTTTCTATCTATCCTACTTTTGTTACAACTTTCGAATGTGTCATGAAATGCCACAAAGGTTGTATTGGTGTTTTAGTAATATATATATTATGATGAAATTTCTGGTTCGTACTGATATTATTTTCACGTGAAGTGTGAACACCAAAATGATTCTAAGCTTTTAGCAATTATATTGACGTGTATGAGTTTTCATTTCTTTTCTAACCACACTTGAATCATTTTTTTTGGATCCATCTTTGATTAAAGTCTACACAAACTTTTTTTTTCTTTGTGGAAAAACTTTTGTTTTCTTTCCATTTACTCATTTCTTTCTGAAAAAAACATACATATATTTTACATTTTCCAAAAAAAAAGAAAGAAAGAAAATGAAATAAGAGAAAACTGCGATCTACAATAATTTATTTTTTAATAATTGGGTTTTTGTTTTTGCTAAATTGTGAATATTTTATTGATAATGAAAATAGTTTTAATTACAATCAAATATTGAAACTTATACAAATGGTTCTATGGTAAAGAAAAAAAACATGGAATCATAAAAGATAGTTAAACCAAATTTTTGGTACATCTATTCAACTAAGAGCATGTGTATTAGCAGCTCTTTGAGCCGTTCCCCATCATATAATTTCAAAATATAAATCAACAAAAAAAAAAAAGTGGAGGATGTTCCTTAAAACGCGATGTCTTTTTAGTTTGTTTCTTCACTATTCGCGGGTCTCACTAACACGTGGCGGTTCGCGATTGGTTGCTTTTTCTTTTGAATTTTTGTTTTTTTTAATCTAAAAATAATAATAAAAAATTAAAATTAGTATTGTTAAGGACAATTTTTTAGAGACACCAATGCATATGGTCTAAGCAATGAAGCTACGAGAACAAGATGAAGCGATCGATTACGTTTTTGTTTTCTTTCCCGAAAGAGTTACAATCTAATAAAATTGATTTCTTGACCATAAAACAGAGAACTTATCATAGTCATAGAGCTTGTTTTTGTTTTCTTTTCCACTTGGATGCTTGTAATAAAGGGAATGTATAGTAAGTGCCGATGAATTGAGTCACATTGGAACCGGATATTAACTCTCAAAGGAACCGGGTTCAACCTTGTTGGAAGATGGTTTGCGTCTATGGATTCGGTTCAAGATTTAGAACTCTCTATCTCAATTTTTAAGATTTCCTTAAATTTGATTTCATATATCCGAGGGGTGCATATAATATAAACAAGATTTTTATGTAAAATAAACTTCACACGGTCAAAATATCAAAGTGCATGTGAAACCCCATATTGCTCCGGCCTCAAGCTTCTTTGTACGTATTTGTTTACATGCATGAGAAGTATCATGCAAGTTAGAAAATCATATAGAAATCGATGAGGTAGGTAGAGAAAATCTTATTAGATAAAAATTGCTATGTAGAAGTTTCATTTTAAAAATGTTCAAATTCTAAGTCATCATCCTCTGCTTGCTTCTTCTTCTTCTTCCTTTCTTCCGCAGCTTTCTTCTTCTTCTTCCTCCTCTCATCTCTCTCTGCCTTCTTCTTCTGTTCTTCCTCGGCCAACATCTTCGCTTTCACTTTCTCTTCCTCCAAAGACTTAATCAAACCCTCAAGGCAAATATCAGCATCTTCTTCATCAGATTTTGGCATCAAATTCTCAGCAACATCAGCCGGAGACATGTCAACTTCCTCCAACAACCTCTTGACTTCTCCATACAAGTCATGTGACTCAATCCCCAAGTAGTTCTTGGCCAAAAACTTAAACGCTTCAAACTTGCAATAAGACATCTCAATATGATTGTCCATTCTTCCTCTACGTATCAATGCTGGATCAAGATTATCAACAAAGTTCGTTGTGAACACTATGATCTTCTCTCCACTACAAGATGACCATAACCCATCAATGGCGTTTAATAGCCCTGACAAAGTCACCCGACACATTGTCCCATCTCTTTCTTTTTTTAACCTCTTCTCAAACTCATCATCTTCAAAGTCTTCTTCGTCATCTTCCTCATTTTTCGACCTTCTCTGCCCCGCAAAATCAATAGTACAATCAATATCTTCAATCAAGACAATAGACTTCTCTGTTGTGTCCAACAAGATTCTCTTCAAATCTGAATTATCTCTCACTGCCGTTAACTCAAGATCATACACATCATACTCCAAGAAATTCGCCATCGCAGATATCATTGTCGATTTCCCTGTCCCGGGCGGTCCATACAAGAGATAACCTCTCTTCCATGACTTACCAACCTTCTTGTAATAATCTTTCCCTTTAGTAAAATTAATCAAATCTTTCTTAATCTTTTCTTTTCAGGATCCATAGCCAAAGTCTCAAAAGTTGCAGGATGGTTAAAAGGAACACTCTTCCATCTACCGTCAACCGAAGAACAATATGAATTTGAATTGTTAGTGTAAAGCTTCCTCTCTCTCTTCTCTAATCCAATCTCTTTCCCTACTCTCATAACATGATCAAGATAACTTGTTGTGATCATCTCTCTATAACGATTGTGAAAGCTCAAAGTCAAGTACCTTCCTTCCTCAGATCCGCTTCTACGGTTACTTTGAGACGTATTCACGCTTGAAGACCACTTCATCTTCACACCTTGGAACACATCTTCAACTTCCTCGTGATCATCCAAACTAAACACCAAAGATTTGCTGTTTCTTGATTCATTGGCCTTTAACCTCTTGGCACGAGCAGTTGATTTCGAGGATAAGTAGTTTCGTATAGCATCGTAGGCTTGGCTTTTCTTGAAGATACCTCTATCGTCTGTGACTGTGTATTCAGTGAATTTTATGTCGACAGTGTATGAGACCAAACCGATCATCTTGTAAAAATACTTCTCCAAGAAACCATGGATTTGGTATGGCACAAACTGTCTGTACATTGACCAGAAGAACATAAGACTTGCCATCGTCGTACTTGTTAAACCCCATATTGTTCCGGTCTCGAGCATCTTTGTGTAATTGTGTTTTGTCGAATTCTTTAGCCAAAGAAACAAACACAAATACTCTTTATATATCTTTTTTTTGTTTGTCTAGGGTTTCCCTTTTTTTTTTCTTTGCTTTCTTAGTTTTGAGAAGTTTTCCAAAAGAAAATAAAAATTTGGAAAACTACTACTCATCAAAGTTCATTGTTTTAGTACGTGTGTTGTAGACATCCTACAAATTAATAGATATCCTAATGCTAATGTAAAACCTCTATAAATTAATAATGTTGAGATCTTGATACAGTATTTTATTAACTTATAGTGATATTGTTATATTGAGATTTTGATATTTTATTAATGTTTTTTTGTTTGGTAATGGATATTTTATTAATGTTGAGATCTATAAGTTAATATTTATTATTTTACACTAAATATCAGTATAAATTTATATTTATTATTTTATAGTGTAATGTGTAAATTTAATAACTATTAATTTATATTGGTATATTTTTATTGTTAATTTTTTTTCGAAATTTCACAATTTGAAATTAAATTTTATATTAATCAAAGATAATTTGATTCCATCTTTTAAGGGGAGTTATTGGGAGAAAAAATTTTTTGAGTTTAAATTATATTGTTATTGGTTTATGAATTCTTAGATTTTTACTAAAGTTTTTTGTTATTGGTATATGTATTTTGTAATTATATTTCAAATGATTTGTTTTTACAAAAAATGAGTATTTATTGATTTTCTAATTCTAGTGTTATTGGGAATTTTATTTATTTATTTGGTCATTAAAAACAACTTCCAAAATACCGCACTTATTATAAATATTTGTAAAATCTATCATATGTATAATCTATACTAAACTCTAAAAATCTCGATAAACATTGGTTTAGAATCTACAGGTTTTTTTGAAAATCTTAAAATAAACTCAACCTCCCAATAACTTATGTGTAAACAAAAAATTCGAGGAAGAGCAATGTGATGTGTCAACGCATAAACTCAACAACAAGAACGATTTGTTGCATGCTATAATACGTTTAATGGCTCTTGTTGTTGTTGTTTATGACCTATATATAGATTAGTGATACATTGAGTGAGAGAAAGAAAATGAATTCATTTTTTTAATAAACATAAATATTTTATAAATTTGAAATATAGATTTCAAGGATTAAATCCCAACTTAAAATTTATTCTGCAATACCAAACTATATAAACTTTAACACACAATAATTCTAGCTATAACTATTTTTTGCTAAAATAGTTTTAGTTGATACCATTTGCTTCTGCCCCCTTCACCTTCTTCTCCTCACTCTCTATTTTTTTCTTCTTCTCTTCTTCCTCTGTTTTCTTCTTCTCTGTTTCTTCCTCTGCTTTCTTCTTATTTCTCGCTTCTTTCTCTGTTTTCTTCTTCTCTTCTTCCTCAGCCAACTTCTTTGCTTTTTCCTTCTCTTCCTCCAAAGTTTTGACCAAGCGCTTGATACAAAGATCTGCATCTTCTTCATCAGATTTAGGCATCAAAGTCTCAGCTACATCCGCTGGAGACATATCGGTTTCTTCGAGCTTTCTTTCGATCTCTTCAAACAAATCATGAGTTTCAATCTCTAAGTAGTTCTTGGCCAAAACCTTAAATGCTTCAAACTTGCAATAAGACATCTCAACATGGTTGTCCATTCTTCCTCTACGTATCAATGCCGGATCAAGCTTATCCACAAAATTAGTTGTGAACACTATGATCTTCTCACTACTACAAGCTGACCATAACCCATCAATGGAGTTTAATAACCCTGATAGAGTAACTTTACTCAGCTTCTCATCTTTTTCTCGCTTCGACTTCTTCTCATCTTCTTTCTTTTCCTCTTCATCGTCTTCCTCCTTTTTCTTCTTTCTCTGCCCGGTAAGTTCAAGCGAGCAATCGATATCTTCAATAACAATGACAGACTTACCACTTGTATCCAGCAACAGCTTCTTCAGCTCTGAGTTATCTTTCACAGTCGTTAGCTCAAGATCATACACATCGTAGTCCAAGAAGTTTGCTATTGCAGCTATCATCGTCGATTTCCCTGTCCCGGGCGGTCCAAACAAGAGATAACCGCGCTTCCATGGCTTTCCAACCTTCCTATAGTACTCTTCTCCTTTACTAAACTTTATCAGATCCTTCTTAATCCCTTCTTTCTTTAAAGGATCCATAGCCAAAGTCTCAAACGTAGCCGGGTGATGAAAAGGAACATTACTCCACTTTGCAGTTCTCCAAGAGTACCAATCTTGACTCGAGTTATTAGTATAAAGCTTCCTCTCTCTGTTCTTCAACCCAATAGCTTTCCCTTCTCTCAAAACATGATCAAGATAAGTCTCAATGACCATCCCTCTATGTTGCCTATGGAAAGTAAGCGTAAAATACCTTCTCTCGTCCGAGATGCTTCGACCATAGTTAGACTGAGTTTGAGTCACTTTCACATTTGAATACCACTTCACCTTCACACCTTCAAACTCATCTTCAATTTCCTGGTGATCATCCATACTAAGCACCAAAGATTTGCTGTTTTTCGATTCGTTGGCCTTTAATCTCTTCGCAAGAGCCGTTGATTTCGAGGACAAGTAGTTTCGTATAGTGTTATAGGCTTGGCTTCTCTTGAGACCTTCATCTGTGTACTCAGTGAATTTGATGTGAACGTTAGGAGAGATCCATCTTATCATCTTGTAGAAGTATCTCTCCACGTAGGCTCGGAGATGAGGTGGGACGAATTGTTTGTACATCGCCCAGAAGAACATAAAGCTCGTCATGGTCGTGCCAGTTAAACCCCATATTACTCCTGTCTGAAGCATCTTCTTGTGTTGCTTCTGTCCCACGGAACTAGTTCCTTGTGTTCCACGAAACTTTTTGTGTGTTGATCTTAAGGACATTAAAGTGTGTTCTCTTGTTTGGTTTTTCATTTCTCCATTGCCACTCACTCTCTATTTATCATACCTTTTGAGTTTCCAAAGAAGATACCACGAAAGCTCTGATTAATTTAGGGAAACTTAATTACTTATCATATGTATGTTTAATATTAATATAGTGTGGAATTTTTGCGATTATTTTGTTTCTTAACTAGTTTTTAAATTACTTTTAGGATATATAATGTGACTAAGTTTGTCGTTTACGAAATTTAGTCTCTAGGATTAGGTGAAGTGTTTAAATATTTGTTCTTGGGATTATGCGAGGAGCCAGCCACTTAAGAGTCAATATATATATATTTAAAAATATATATTTCTTAATAAAGTCATTATACTATTTTTTCCTTCTAACCTAATTAATTATCAACTGTAGTAAATTGATATGGGAAATATCTCTAAGAAAAACATCAACTTAATTATTTAAAATGGTGAACAACATAAATTTTATTTGCAGTTGATTAAATATCTAACTTTATTTAGAAAATCAATAACGATTGATATTAAACATATTAAAAATGAATGACTCTACATGCATAGTAAAATTATGTTATCTTTCTAGAAATGAATGATGAAAAAAGCTTTTGAGTTCGCTAACAAATAAAAGTATATGGTAATCCAATATATTTGAACAATTCTCTAAAATAACAAAAAAAAAAGATTTCAACGATGTTTTATTTCTTAACCTAGACTTGCAAATGGTGAAATGAGATTACCAACAAAATGACGATTAAAATGTATTAAAGTAAATTTTAGAGATGATAAGAGCAAATTACTTGTGGCAATTTGATAATGAATTTAGGACTAATTCACTAATATGATAGTAATTCTTTTTCTTATGACAAAAAAAAAATAGTAATTCATTTTGCAATTTTTCACAAATCTATACTATTAAAAGGGGAGCATTTTTTAAAGGTGTATCCAAACAGATTAAATAGAAAAAATGAAATAAAATGTAATCCTAAACCTATAGCCAAACAAAATTAATGACAGATTTTCAAATGAAAAAATATGCTTTAAAATAAATAAAAAATCAAACTAATAACTAACCAATATTCATGGAAATCATAATAAATTTGTTACCATAAAATGTGGCCTATTAAATTCGAATTTTTTTAAAGATTATATAATGTTTTAAACATTTATTTTACCTAATTTAAACTAATACAATTCAAAACATTTTAATTTCAAAAAATTGGAAACTTTTAAAATAAATTGATATGTATAGTATTTTAAATTGTGTATATGTAAACAGATTAAATTAGGTAAATAAACGTTTAAAATAAATTAGGTCCAAGGAAAGATTATAATACTATAAATATCTAAATTCTATAGAAGTTTAGGTATTATTAATATTTACTCTTTTAAAAGGTTTTAAAATATTATAAATATTTAAACTACATGTAAAGTTGAAAATATTAGAAATATTTAAACTCAATTAAAATATTTTAAGTTTAAGCATTATTAAATTATATATTAAAATTTTCAAATATCTTGAAGACAGCAAAATATATTTTCAATTGAATTAAATATGCTTTAAAATGTATATAAGAAAATCAAAACTAATAACTAACTCAAATTCATGGAAATCATAATAAATCCGTTACCATAAAATGAGGCCTATTAAATTAGAAATTGTGTATTTGTAAACATATTTTATAGTTTGGATGCTTATTAAGTGAAATCAATCAAAGGAAACATATTTGAAACATATTATGTTTTCAAAGGAAACATATTTTAAACATTACCCAATTCACCTAAAATCGAATGAATTGATATTTTTGACATTTATTCGATTTCAAAGTTTAATAGCTTGCTAAAAATATAATTGATTACATTAGTTTAATATATGGATCTGTCTTCGTATCAATCCAAATATTATGATGAAACCATTATTATTACAAATATTCCGAAATTTGATGAAACCAAATCGTTATAAATATGAGTTATAAAGATTATATCAAATAATTATATTCACAAATATATCCCGCACGTATGTGCGGGTCTAAATCTAGTTTCTAATAAGGGATCAATTATACTTAACTTACTTTTGCATTTAAATTTTATTTAGAAATACCTTGCCAAAGTATTCAATCTTACACAATGAACTAAATTCATCAAGGCCTCACTTTTTTTTGTTCATATCATTTTAGACAGTTGCAACCATTTGTCTTAGAAACGTCACCGTTTTGCTCCTTGCCTTTCACTTTCTCATTCTTCTCTTCTTCCTCTGTCTTCTTCTTCTCCTCTGCTTCCTTCTCTGCTTTCTTCTCCTTCTCTTCTTCCTCTTCTTTCTTCTTCTTCTCTGCTTCCTCTGCTTTCTTCTTCTTTTTCACTTCCTTCTCTGCTTTCTCCTTCTCTTCTTCCTCAGCCAACTTCTTTGCTTTGTCCTTCTCTTCCTCCAAAGTCTTTACCAAGCGCTTGATGCAAATATCTGCATCTTCTTCATCAGATTTGGGCATCAAAGTCTCAGCAACATCCGCTGGAGACATATCGGTTTCTTCGAGTTTCCTCTCGATTTCTTCATACAAATCATGTGTTTCAATCTCTAAGTAGTTCTTAGCCAAAACCTTAAATGCTTCAAACTTGCAATAAGACATCTCAATATGGTTGTCCATTCTTCCTCTACGTATCAATGCTGGATCAAGCTTATCCACAAAATTAGTTGTGAACACTATTATCTTCTCACCACTACAAGCTGACCATAACCCATCAATAGAGTTTAGTAACCCTGACAAAGTAACCTTGCTTTGCTTTTCTTCCACGTTTGGTTTCTTCTCTTCTTCCTTCTTCTTCTTCTTCTCTTCATCATCTTCTTCATCATCGTCTTTTTTCTTCTTTCGCTGCCCCGTAAGTTCAAGAGAGCAATCAATATCTTCAATCACAATGATAGACTTACCTGTTGTATCCAGCAACAACTTCTTCAGCTCTGAGTTATCCTTCACAGTCGTCAGCTCAAGATCATAAACATCATAGTCCAAGAAATTCGCTATAGCAGCTATCATCGTAGATTTCCCTGTCCCGGGCGGGCCAAACAAGAGATAACCTCGCTTCCATGGCTTCCCAACCTTATTGTAATAATCTTTCCCTTTGCTAAACTTGATCAAGTCTTTCTTGATCCCTTCTTTCTTGACAGGATCCATAGCCAAAGTTTCAAACGTAGCCGGGTGATGAAAAGGAACGTTACTCCACTTTCCTGCACTCCAAGGATACCATTCTCGACTCGAGTTATTAGTGTAAAGCTTCCTCTCTCTCTTCTTCAGCCCAATATCTTTGCCTTCTCTCAAAACATGATCAAGATAAGTCTCGATGATCATACCTCGGTGTCTCCTATGGAAAGTAAGCGTAAAGTATCTTCTCTCGTCTGAGATGCTTCGACCATAACTATGTTGAGGTTGACTCACTTTCACATTAGAATACCACTTCACCTTAACACCTTCAAACTCATCTTCAATTTCCTCATGATCATCCATACTAAAGACCAAAGATTTGCTATTTTTCGTCTCGTTGGCCTTTAATTTCCTCGCAAGAGCCGTTGACTTTGAGGCTAAGTAGTTTCGTATGGAGTCGTAGGCTTGGCTTCTCTTGAGACCTTCTTCTGTATACTCAGTGAATTTGATGTCAACGTAATAAGAGATCCATCCAATCATCTTGTGGAAGTACTTCTCCACGTAGACTCGGAAATGTTGAGGAACGTATTGTTTGTACATCGCCCAAAAGAACATAAAGCTCGTCACTGTCGTGCCTGTTAATCCCCATATCGCTCCGGTCTCAAGCATATCTTCTTGTCTTGTCGCTTGTGTCTCACGTAACCTCTTGTTTGTATTACACGAAACTATATATATGAGGTGTATGTGTTTCTCTAAGTGTTGGTTTCATTTCTCCATTCTCACTCACTCTCTATTTATCATATTCTTGAGTTTCTTGAGGAAGGTACCTCGAAATCTCTAATGAAGTTTCAGAAACTGATCACATATGTGTTTAGTATTAGTATGATGTGGAAACTTTTACAATTGTTTTGTTTTGTAGCTAGTTTTGAAGTATATTATTACAATAGTAATGTCACTAGCTAGCTAGGCTTTGTCGTTTACTATCTTTGTCTCTAGTATACGTGAAGTGCTTAGAAACTTGTCGACGATATGAATTGTGGCTTTGCTCTTTGGAAACATGCGAGGAGCCACTTAAATATTTTTAAGAGTATAATATTATGTAAAGTATGAGTCATGTATGTTATAAGTCTAGTCAACTGCCGTAAGCTTAGGTTACAAGTTTGAAATATTTTGTTTGTTTATGAGGAAAACACCTTAATAGGCTAAGCCAAAGTGATTACGAAAGGTGTCTTCTTCGTTTCTTTATTGGTTAGTCTATGAACGTTGAAACTTATTTTCTAACGTGAAAATACATTTTTGAGAGAAATTAAAATAATCGTGGTGATTTTGGCTGTTTATAGTTCGGCTATAGGTTTTAAACTGATCGATAAATATGTTAAAATTATTTTGCAGTTAATAAAATATTTTGGTTCGGTTTGGTTATCGTTTTACTAAAAAGAATTTAAAAATAAAACCGAAAAACAATAATTAGGCCATTTTTAACAAAATAAAAATTAAGTTTTCATCAACAATGGCATTAAAACAAGTAATTCGAATTTTATTTAAAAGTAAGCGAAAAACCGGACTTAAAAAAAAAACAGAAAAAACATGGCTAACATCTGTTAATTGACCGAAAACCAAATCGAACCAGATCAACATTTATTTAGTTAATCTCGGCAAACTTCAAATTTACTTTCGCTAAAGGCTAACCAAAAGAACCGAACGAATCCAAAGAACCGAAATCTTATGACTAGAAGATATATAAGAGCAATATTATTTTAGAGCTCTTAAGTTTTGCTCTTAATAATATTTTAGTGTTAAAATTCTAAAAGACTCGATTATTGGCTCTTAAGAGACCAACTTTTTGTTATATAAAATTTTCTTGTTGAAATCTTTAATATATTATAGGAGAGTTCTCTTTCCATTTATGGTGTCCACCTAAGTATCCATATAATCAACATTATTTATTTTATGTTGGACATGTAGTTATACACTTGTATCCGTTCTAGTTTCTCATGTGGAACCATAGAAGCAACCAATATTCAAAAAATCGCTAGTCATTAGCTAGACGCTTGATAGAGACCTAGCATATAAGCGGGATTAATCGTTTGATAATGGGTTCTAATCGGTTTTAAACGTTGATTATTTTCCAAATAATTATGATAATTATTATTTTTCACTGAATATTGACTCTAACTAAATTGAAAACATTCAAAATATAAGACAACATCTCGGAATCTTTATCATTATTTATATAATTTTCTTCCTATTTTCCATTTTTACGGCTAGCAAGTATTAATATTTATTAATTTTATTAAATGTTTTGTCTTTCTCACTTTTCTTCTTCTTCGATCTACCTCATCTCCATGCAACTTTTTTTCTATTTCGTTTTTAATTTATCTAACCGAATTTATAACCGATTTTACTATATTGTAGCGTTTAAGGAGTTTTAGAACTTCCAAGGAACTCAATCACTACTAAAATGGGCCAATACAGTTTTCATATTCTCCTATGATTCAAACAAATTTGTTGAAGAACCCTTTGAATAATATTAACATGCCATGTCCAGACCCGAACTGATATTAACCCAAACCCTATGATGCAAAGCCCAATTAAGGCACAAAATTTCTCTATCAAGCCGTAAAAAATTAACAAGCCCATGCAAAATTTTAAGCCTAAATAAATATAATTAACAAAAATATTAAAAAATTCTTGATCTTGCAGTTTTTAATTTTTTTTCTTAAGTTTAGACTTAGTCCTTTTCCGATGAATGTTTTTTTTTTGGGTAAGAGATAGAAGACAACTATCTCCTATGCTTTATTCAATACCAAGAAAAAAAACAAATTACATATAGAAAATCCGTGAAAAAGAAACGCCGTTCGCATTATTCAGTCTTACTGAATCACAAACAAGGGGACAAGTCTCTAACAATTGAAAACCAAGCGATAACGTAAACATATAGTTCGATAACGAATAAACTAAAAATATAGGTTAACGGCTACTGAAGAAATAAATAATAATGTAGTCATGTTTAAACTTTCACAAAAACAAACATACTTAATTTAATACAACATCAAAGTTTATTTTATATGATTGAATAATAGTAATGAAACTAGATAAAAAAGAATTAACGGGTCATGCCGCCATGGGCGACTGGAGCACCCATCACCACACCTCCTTGGTTCTGCTGCCTCTCTACGTTACCCGCCCATCCTTAACCAAACAAAAATAACAATGTCAATGTTTCTACGGCTACAATAAAACAAATGGACTATAAAACAACATGGAAAAGCAAAAAAAACAAAAAAACACAAACACTTGGCCATATGTGTCTAAAGAAGAAAATAAATACCAAGAGACATATCGAAACCGCGATGCTTGAGTTCACGGTATTGTTGGGTCAAAGCACAGAGCTCACAGCAGAAATGCTTAAGGCAATCTCCACAAGCATTGCCACTAATATTGTATTGAGCTCTTATCTTTTTACGATAGAAACACGAGTAGATACATCCACCACCCGTTACTGCCGTTATCAACGCGTATAGTGCTCCAGCCGTACCACACGCTGCAAAGTTTAAGGAATTATAAACAAATTATAAACCCCTTATTGTATAATTGTTTATTATATAGTATTTAATTAGCTTTGGGCATTCGAGTACTCGTGTCGGGTTCGGGTAAAAACTATTCGGGTTTGGGTTTCTTGGGTAGAAGAGTTTAGGACTCAATAGAGTAAATATAAAAATTTGGTTCGGTTTCGGTTTTGGTTTAGGTCCGAGTCGGTTCGGGTAAAAATTATTATAACCGTTAAAAATCCGAAAATTTTTGGGTACACATATACCCGAAAATTTACCCAAATACCCAATTTTAAGGTAAATTTTCCGAGTTTTTGGATAAATACCCAAATTTCAGGTAAATACCCGGATTTTAGGGTAAAAATTAGGATATTCGAATAGATAATTCAAGTATTTTGGGTCCTAAATTATTTTTATATATTTATATTTTGGATATTTTCGGGTTCGGATTTGGTTCGGGTTCGGGTTTTCGGATAAATCTAAAATTTCGAGTTCAAATTCGGGTCTATTTTTTCAGATCGGTTCCACTTCGGATTTTTGGTTCCGGTTTTTTTTTTTTTGCCCAAGCCTACTAGTATTTATGACAAAGGCTTTCACACAAGTAATTAATAACAACTTACTGGTGGCTCCTTGATCAACAATCTCAGCGACTTGGCCGAATGTAATACATGGACACCAGAACGTGATACAACCTGTATCCATTCATTTTTTTTGCAAGGTAGATATTAGTTAGGTTTTAAATTTCTGCTATAAACCATAGTCTAAAGTCAAATACAATTGTGAAAAGAGTAATTACAGTTGGAGCAGTCGGAGAAGCAATCAAAGAAGCCTGTGGACCATTCTCCTTCAGCATGAGGCTTGCCATGAAGGTGTTGAGCTTCCATTGAGGGAGAGATACTGAGATTGAAAATGTGTTTTCAGATTTTTGTAACATAATGGAAGAAGGATGCTTTGTATATATATAAAGGACATCATTTTCTAAATCCCTAAAATAATTAAGTCAGATATTTTTGTGTGTGTTTTCTTGGAAGTTGCCATCATCGTTTTACTTAATATTCTTCCAACTGACTTTTTACCAACTCTTCTTGGTCATGTGAATTGAGAGGTCATGTAATTTTATTCATTACCAAACAGTTTATGACAAAACGAAAGGTCAGTTTTCTCATCTCACGCCGAACTTGGGCTTTGAAAGGCCCAGTAATAGCAACCTCAAATACATGGTACCAAGTCATTTATTCATCAGCAAGTCTTCTTTCCACAGTTCCTTACTCATCGACTTCTTTTATAGTAGGCCTGCGACTTCGGATCGGATAATACTCGGGTAGTTCGTCATTTGAAAAACGTTTCCAAAAATAACCGAATTACATAGCGGGTCATGTCGGTTCGGGTATCGGGGTTTTCAGTTATTTTTTTCGCTTACCGAAATAAACTGAATGTTTAAGATTCTTGGTTAGATTAGTAAAATCGGATCAAAAATCTCAGTTAAGTGGGGTAATTTCTGTTAATTTCAGATAATTTCGGGTAATTTGGTTATCTCGGGTCGGGTACTATTCCAAGGGCAATATCTAGTCCTCGAGAGCTTCCATGCCAGCAGTAATGGCTCAAATAAGAACATAATTCTCAAGATGTAGTCTCATAATAATTAACTTTCACAGTTTCAGAGTCTAGCAACAAAATATTGATTGTGTACGTAAGTAATTGATAGAGAGGATGAAAATTATTTAACTAGACCATACAGTGAGACTGACAAGTTTTATCCGAGTTACAACTAGATAACATTTTTGATGATTGGTTACATTAATCAACAGATTATATGCATATATGCAAAGATCTATATCACCAAATTCATTCAAGAATATCTAGAGAGAAGCTAATCTTTAACTGCAGATGAAAACCATTTGCCTCAAACTCAACTTTTTAACTACACATAAACTTGCTCCATTGTGCTCTTAGTCACTAAGAAACAAACCCATTTCACCTTTTGTACTCACTACTACTCTTTGTTCATCTTTAAACAATACTCATTATGAAAAATGCTTAGCAAACCAGAACCAAACCCATGATGAAAACCACATTAGCAAACTCACTATACACATAACCTCATAAAGAAGATATGCTCCAATGTGTTATTAACCACTAACAAAACAGACCCATTTCACATTTAGACTGACTACTCTTAAAGTTTCCATCTTTAAGCACTAATCATGGTTAAAATGCTTAGCTAACCCAAACCAACCTCATGATGAAAGTCACATAAACAAACTCACTAACACAGAAACTCATAAAGAAGATACACTCCAATGTGTTATTAGCCACTAACAAAACAAACCCATTTCACATTTGGACTCGCTACTCTTAAAGTTTTCATCTTTAAGCACTAATCATGATCAAAATGCTTAGCTAACCCAAACCAACCTCATGCTGAACACCATCTACAATCACATAGCCAAATGGCCCAAATCTCACATTCCTAGATCAAGCACAATACTCAACTCTCAAGTAAACAACCATAGAATCATAAGCTCCAAACATCAGAAACACAAGTCTCAACATTTAACAAAGATCCAACATCACAAAACCAAACCAACATCAAAACAATACTCATAAGCAACAGATATCACAGCCTAACTTAAACCAAATCAATCAAAGAGACTCATCATGCCTTCACCATCAGAAGACTCCTCTTTCTCCTCTTCAACCTTCTTCTTAGACTCAGCAACCGGCTCAGCCGCAGCACCACCGCCGCCACCACCACCTCCTCCACCAACCATAGCAACAGCTGGACCACCAGAAGACAAAGCAGCCATCTTTTCCCTCCCAGCAGCGATAAGCTCAGTCACATCATGATCTTTAACAAGAGAAAACAACAGATCTATCCTCGATTCATCGATCTCAGCACCAACGGACTCCAAGATCTTCTTCAGATCATTTGGTGTTGGGCTCTCGTTTCCTCCGAGCTTGGCGAGGAGAAAAGCAGCGATCACCTTCATCGTGTTTTGGGATTTTTCGATTTCGTTCTTTGTTTTGACTGCTAGGGTTTGTGAAAGGGCTGAAATGTTTTATCTCTTCTCTCCCATGATGAAGGGGAGATTTTTAGGGTTTTGTTCCGTACGTACGGTACACGAAACAACAGCCACTCGTTTTAATGGGCCTTTAGAGTTATGGGTCTTTAATGGGCCTTTAATGTAAAAGAGATTTTAAACCCATTTTCTGCTTTTGATTTTTTTTTTTTTTTTGGTTCTAAAATCTTGTAATTAATGATATGTTATGAGTTATTATGATAAGATAATCTGAAATTTTTCAAGATAACAGGATCTGGATTTTGATATTATTTGGATAGTCCACATGTTTTTGAATATTTATAAAAATTAATTAAAGCAATAATATAATCTTTTTAAAAATATTATATATTTGTACTTTTTATAAATTTATTTTCATAAAACAAATTACAGTAACCAAATCTATACATGTCAGACCCAAAAAGAAATTGCCAGAATCTGGATTGTTTCCGGGTTATCGAATCTAGATTTATGAAAATTAATTAAAATATAATATACAACAAGTTTAGTTATAAAAATAAAATGATTTTAGATTAAATTTGAAACTCATCTATCAAAATATTTTTAAAACTTTACCTTTTTTTAAAGATGCTAAAATTTCTTAGAAAGTAAAATTTATGATGCAAAAGTTTTTGACATATAAAAGTGAATCAAAATAAAATATCATGAAATTAGGATTTAAAATTTTAATTTACGCTATTCTATAATCAAAAACTTTGATTTGTTTTTACATATAAGAAAAAAAAATATAAAACCTACCTTTATTCTTGGTAATTGATATTTTTATATCGGAACATGCATGGTTGAGTGATTGGTATTACCATTTTCTGAAAACACAAAAACTTCATTATTTGTCAACAAAAAAAATAACACTCCAAATAAAGTTAAAGAACCTACCAAAAGTAAAAGTACTAGTCAACGTGAATTAAAAACATAGCAAAATAATACATTGTGATTCATTATACAAATAAAGAACAAAACTGTCTAAATCTCACCAAAAAAAAAAAAAAAAAGAACAGTTCTAATGGATTCTTTAAATTTTCTCGTATTATACTTTTGTCTTCTCTTAGTTTCTTCTCAAATTACATCTTCCTCTGTGATTAAGATGAAAACAAGTGCTTCTTCTTTTGGTTTTGATCCAACTCGTGTCACTCAACTCTCTTGGACTCCTAGGTTTGTGTTCTTTGTTTCTCAGGTTGTTATCTTGATCTTTGTTTTGTTGTATATGATTTGTGTTAAAGAATGTGATTTGTTTTGTGGTTTTCTCCAGGGCTTTTCTATACAAGAGATTTCTTTCGGATGAGGAATGTGATCATTTGATTAACTTGGTATAGAATCAAACATCTTCTTACGTTTTCGTGATATTTGTGAATTAATGTTGTGGGAATGTGTGAGTTTGTGACTTAATCCAGAAACTTTGTCTTTTCTTGGACTTGAACATTGGTTTTACAGGCAAAAGGAAAGCTTGTGAAGTCTATGGTAGTGACTGATGATGATACGGGTGAAAGTGTTGAAAGTGAAGAACGCACAAGTTCTGGAATGTTTCTTTTCAAAAGACAAGTGAGAGAACTTCAATCTTATACTCTTTTCAAATAATTCACAATGTGTGCTACCTTAAGTCTACTATTCTACGGTGTAATTTTGTTATGTGCGGTATATGCATTGTATTCGACTAGCATAATACACCAATTAGACAAAACTAGTTCTCTAGTTATAATTTGTTTTTTTTTTTTGTAATGCACTTGTTTGTTTAACACATTCAGGATGATATAGTAGCTAATGTCGAGGCTAGACTTGCTGCATGGACATTTCTTCCCGAGGGTATGTCGTATTATCGATGTTTATACTTTTCTAATTCTAATTTCTCACTCTCATCTCTTTTTTTATGTGTTGTGCATCAGAAAATGGTGAATCCATACAAGTATTGCACTATGAGAATGGTCAAAAATATGAACCGCATTTCGACTTCTATTACGATACAAAAACTCTAAAGAACGGTGGTCATCGGGTCGCCACGGTACTGATGTACTTGTCCAATGTCACAAAAGGTGGAGAGACAGTTTTTCCTATGTGGAAGGTAAAAGACATATATCACTTCCTATTCCATAAATTCTCACATAAAATTTGGATATGATTTGATCATACACTTTTATAGGGTAAACTACCTCAGTTGAAAGACGATAGCTGGTCGGAATGCGCAAAACAAGGTTATGCAGGTAAAAGACATTGTATATAGTTTTGCTAATATACACATATGTTTGTATGATTCTACCATTTAATGAAATGTTTTTGGAAATGGTATTTTACATTTTGTGGATATGTATCTTTGTAGTGAAACCAAAGAAAGGGGATGCATTGTTGTTCTTTGATCTTCATCCAAATGCAACCACGGATGAAACCAGCTTACATGGAAGTTGTCCGGTGATTGAAGGAGAGAAGTGGTCAGCAACTAAATGGATTCATGTTAGGTCATATGGTAAGAGACAAATTGGGTGTGTGGACATGAATGAGAGCTGTGAAGAATGGGCCAAGGAAGGGGAATGCGAGAAGAATCCAAATTACATGGTGGGTTCAGATACTAACCTTGGATATTGTAGAAAGAGTTGCAAAGCTTGCTAGATATTAAGAACACCAATTTGGGGTAGAAGGAAATTATAGTCTCATCCTTGTTAATTTTTAGTGTTCAATTATGTTCCTTATGGTTCATATAATTAGACAAAAACTTGATCATGAATCATGATAACGGAATTATATCAAGGTTTCATATACAATTGCTATATGAATTTCGAAATGATAGTAGTTGTCTAGAACTATGTCATGCCCTTGGAAACTCTCTATATCTAATGAAATGTAACAATCATGCAACTAGCTTAATTATGTAAGAGCGAAGATCTATATTTTCAATGCAGTGTAACAATCGTCGGCAAAAATATTGATCTAAATGTATCGAACCAAAACATAACCAAAATGAAGTAAAAATCGAATAGATACTAAACTTAAGAACCAAATATAATAAAACAAAATCGAATGGTACATAACTGAAACTAAACCGAAACCAAACCAGAAATAGAATGGATATCCGAAATATAATTATATACTTGAAAAATATATATTTTTTATACCAAATAACGAGAAAATATCCAAAAAAAATAAAAATATCTGAAAAACCAAATTGAAAACTCGAAACTATCCAATATATGAATCAAAACCAATATGAAAATATCTAAAACCCCATAAATATCCTAAAATATCCAAAATATCTAGAACTTTTCGGTTTGAGCCAAAACAAAAATAGCCGAAAATATCCGAAAATAATTCGGTTTTAGTTCAGTTTCTCGTTCAAAAACTGAAACCAAACCGAAAAGATACTAAATGCTCATAATCAATAAAATTCGAAATCAAATCGTACCAAACCGAACATTTGAATGACCATAACTAATACCAAAAAAATCATACACTTTTGTCGGAAAGAAAAAAAAACACAAAAATATATGAAAAATATGTAAAATACTGTATATATTTATTTTGTTGGTGGTCGGACAAACAAAAATCCCTACCTCTTTTATATGAGCATCGATGTTTCAGTTTTTTTACAATTGTCTACAAAAACAGGTTAAAAAGACATGGCATAATTATATCAAAACACATATGGTTGTTAGATTCACCAATAAATCTAAATAAGTTCCAAAGATAACAAAAAAAAAGATTATAGTATTAAAGATCTCATTACTCTACTACTCTTTGCCCCCAAACGAATCAAAAATCCACTCTCTTGAATCCAAATTCTTATATACAAATATAATCTCTATATATTAATAATGAGTTAATTACTCAATAAGGACTTTTCTCAATGGTATTTTTGTTTTTGCCATTTTATGTTAAATCTTTTAGATTTGCCACTTTTATAGATCTAAAAACACAATTTTACATATTATGTTTGGGTTTTCTTGGTTCCATTTTTTCTTAGGGTTTATTATTTGTTATGATATATATATTTTATCCAAAAAAATCATAAAATCACATATTTTAACAAACTTAAAAATGGCAAATTTATAAATTTTTAGTGAAAATAGCATATTTATAAAATTTGAGTTAGAAAGTGGCAAATTTGAGTTGGATTATCATATTTATTAACTAAAATAAAGAAAAATAATTAATTAATTAGCAAAAAATGTTATTATATTTTAGTCAACGGGGGAAATTAAATAAAAAAACCAAAGGCCGGAAAAAAACAGTGGGCGTAATAAAGACTCCAAAACCAAAGGGGACATAATTGTTAAATCACAAAACTATGGGAAACAAATCTAACAAATAAGAAAGTTACAGTTTCATCATCTTCTTGGTCTTCGTCGCCAACAAGTCTTTCTCACGGGATTTTCTTTTTTTGTTTTTTCGATGGATTCTCTGAATTTTCTCGCATTTTCCCTCTGTTTTCTCTTGATTCTTCCAGAAATTTCATCTGCACCAACCCGTTTCTTCACTCGATCGAGTAAAAGGTTAAGAAGATTACACGATTTGGATTCGATTGTGCTACTTTTCGAATTTTGGTTTTTGACTGTGAAAGGTTTGGTTTTGCAGAGATGGGTCTGTGATTAAGATGAAAACAAGTGCTTCTTCTTTTGGTTTTGATCCTACTCGTGTTACTCAACTCTCTTGGACTCCTAGGTTTGTTTTGCTGCTCTTTTGTTGTGTGTGTTTAAAGTTTTGATCTTTGTGTTTAAAGTTTTGATCTTTGTGGTTTTTTTTTTTGCAGAGCTTTTTTGTATAAAGGGTTTCTTTCTGATGAGGAGTGTGATCATTTTATCAAATTGGTATAGAAATCTTGAAATGGATTCTTAAGTTTTTTGTGTTTGATTGTGAAGAGCTTGTGATGATTGAAGTTTTTTGGATATAGGCGAAAGGGAAGCTTGAGAAGTCAATGGTTGCTGATAATGAATCTGGTGAGAGTGTAGAGAGTGAAGTACGGACTAGTTCTGGAATGTTTCTCTCCAAGAGACAGGTGAGTTATATAAGCTTTACAAGTTGTTTGAATCCATAGATAAATCTGATGGTTATTGTAAAGATTTTGGATTACTTGTTTGAAGCTGTGGTTTGTATATCTTGATTGATTTTGTGTGTTTTGGTTTGTGTGTACAGTCATTTGAATTTTATGATGTGTTTTGTTTCTGAGAATGATTGGTGTTACGAGGTATAATGTGGCTTTTGTATGTACTGGATTCAGATTGTTTACTCCACCAATTAGACAGGATTGTTTGCTATTACTCGTATATTTCCTGCAACAATGTAGAATTCTGCTTCTTCGCGTAGACAATGTAGTTGGTTGAATGCAAATCTGGCTATTCTAGAGGTTGTGTAAGCTTGAACGTTAAGATTTTTATGCTGTGCAGGATGATATAGTGTCTAATGTCGAGAAAAAACTTGCTGCGTGGACCTTTCTTCCCGAAGGTATTTCCGTCCATATGTACTTATATTTCCCAGTTCTGTTTCTTACTGTAGCCTTAAGTAGCTTACAACTTCTCATGTCCTTTTTTTCTTTCTGTGTTGTGGATCAGAAAATGGGGAATCCATGCAAATATTGCACTATGAAAATGGTCAAAAATATGAACCACATTTTGACTACTTTCATGATCAGGCCAATCTAGAGCTTGGTGGTCACCGAATCGCCACTGTATTGATGTACTTGTCCAATGTTGAAAAGGGCGGAGAAACAGTGTTTCCAATGTGGAAGGTAAAGAAAGACATTATCTTACTTCTGGTTCCATGAATTGTCATCTATAATTGGATTTCATTTCTTGAGTAGCCTCATTTCAATTGAATCACACATTCTTATAGGGCAAAACAACTCAACTGAAAGACGATACCTGGACCGAATGTGCAAAACAAGGCTATGCAGGTAAAAACAGTGTTTATAGTTTGACATCTATACTCATGTAGAATACTCTAGATTATCTTGAACATGTGTTTGGTTTAAAAGTGGAAAATGAGAAAACCAAAAAGCTCAACACAAATATGATTGTAGTAGTATTCTATGATAATGAAAGGTACAACTTTCTCTCGAAATGGTATAGTGCACTATCTGAAAATCTTCCTTTGCAGTGAAACCAAGGAAAGGAGATGCATTGCTTTTCTTTAATCTTCATCCCAATGCAACCACAGATCCAACCAGCTTACATGGAAGCTGTCCAGTGGTTGAGGGAGAGAAATGGTCAGCAACCAGATGGATTCATGTAAGGTCATTCGAGAAAGCGTTTAAGAAGCAATCTGGGTGTGTAGACGAGAATGACAGCTGCGAAAAATGGGCAAAGTCAGGGGAATGCCAGAAGAATCCAACTTACATGGTTGGTTCAGATAAAGACCATGGATATTGCAGAAAGAGTTGCAAAGCTTGCACACCTTAAGAACAACAAGTAAATCAAAGATCTTATTAAAGGATGAAAATTTTTGTATAGCGAAAAATCGGGTTTTCGCCATTCGGGTAGAGAAACGAGAAACATTTCGTCGATAGAATGAAAAATTTAGAACTATATACTAAAAAATAATTCTGATTTGGTTTCATGTTCAGTTATGCTCCCATGGTTCATAACTAGAGCAAAACTTAATAAAAGTCAGTTTAATATTCCATCATCCACAAGCAAGCAATACATGATAACTGAATTATGCATTATTCTTATACAATCAGTAGTAGTGTACATGAGATAATAGTTGTCTAAACTACGTCATGCACTTCGAGACTCTATATTTCTAATGAAGTGTAACAATCATGCAATTACCGTTAATTAGGAGCCTTCAAGCATGAGATCCTCACCTTCTCTTTCTCTTTCTCTCTCTTTAGCCATGTCTCAGAGCTTTTGCATTGCATCACTCTCTTTCCATAAAGCCTTTGTTGTTGTACTTTCAGACATTTCTCAGCTTCTTCATCTTCATCTTCTCTCTTGTGTGTGAATACCCAAAAAATGGGAAGACCACCATGTTGTGACAAATCCAATGTCAAGAAAGGTCTTTGGACCGAGGAAGAAGACGCTAAGATCCTTGCTTATGTTGCTATCCACGGTGTAGGGAACTGGAGCTTGATCCCCAAAAAAGCAGGTTTTTCCAAGAAAATCTCTACTTTCTTTTAAGCAATCTCATCTCCTTATACAAGTCTTGAGTTTTTATTCGTTCTTTGGTGCAGGACTGAATCGATGTGGGAAGAGCTGTAGACTGAGATGGACTAATTACCTAAGACCTGACCTTAAACATGACAGCTTCTCTCCTCAAGAAGAAGAGCTTATTATTCAGTGTCACAGAATCATTGGCAGCAGGTAATGAAGAAACCTAATTGCTAACTAACTTCTTAACAATGAGACAAGAATCTATCAAACTTGTTTTCACATTGTTAATAATATCTTCTGATCTTTTCAGGTGGTCTACTATTGCACGAAAGCTTCCGGGAAGAACTGATAACGATGTGAAGAACCATTGGAACACGAAGCTGAAGAAGAAGCTGATGAAAATGGGGATAGATCCGGTGACTCATAAACCGGTGTCTCAGGTCCTTTCAGAATTCAGAAATATTAGTGGCCATGGAAATGCATCCTTCAAAACAGAACCATCTAACAACTCTGTACTCACACAAACCAACTCAGCCTGGGAAATGATGAGGAACACAACTATGAGCCATGAGACTTATTTCAACAACTCTCCTATGATCTTTACGAATCCCGGTTCATCTGAAATCCAAACTACTCCATTCCATTTCTCTAACCACTCAAATCATTTGCTTAATGGAACCACATCTTCATGTTCTTCCTCATCATCTTCTGCTAGTATCACTCAGCCAAACCAAGGAACTCAAGCACCGGTTACTAACTTCTGCTGGGACGATTTCCTTCTCTCGGATCCAGTCTTACCTCAGAGTTCTCAGAAACAAGTAGTGGGATCCTCAGCTACTAGCAACCTCACGTTTGCACAAAACGAGCATCATTTCAACCGCCAAGCCGAATGCAGCTCGCAGAAGATCGTTTCGGACCCCTCTCGTTCCGCGAGTTCATTTGTGGATGAAATATTGGATAAAGACCAAGAAATGCTGTCACAGTTTCCTCAACTCTTGAATGATTTCGATTATTAGTTACATCCTTCTTTCCATTGTTGTTGCTTCTCTTTCAAGAACTATGATTTTTCAATAAGTTATATCTCTTCACTTATTAGTACCAAAGTTATTCCGATACAATGATGTGTTTCATTAGTTACATACTTAACTCAAATTAGACACCTTTTGGTAAAAGGAACTTATCCTCTGGCTGCGGAAGAGGGTTTAACATTTCTCCAATTTATCGTCTTCCCTACTTCGAAGCTCTTAACACATTTGCAAGCTTCAAAGTCGAAAACTTTTTCAGCTATGGCGGTTTTGTTATCATCATCTCCCATAGTCTCTCCACTAGGAATCAACATCGACACGAATAAGAATCTGGGTGTCTCGTATTCTTCTTTCCCCCAAATTCACCTCTTCAGAGTCTCTGCTCCACTGCGTATTCGAAGATCAGTCGTCTCGAGCCGTAAAAGTGTGAACTTTTGCATCTTTAGAGATTTCTGTTACCAAAAGTTTTGTCTTTTCTCAGTTCATGTCTTGTGGGTTTTCAGATTCAGGAACTGGTTTAGCAAGCGAAGATAAGAAATTGTTGCTGGAACGATATGGTTATGATGCTAATGATGACTTTGGGTCTCAATCTAAGGTAGAATTCAGTTGTTTCGTTTTGGTTTCTGATATTTTGTTTGAAAGCTGAAACTTGAATACGTATTAATGGTTTTAAAAACACATTGTAGAAGGCGAGAAGGAAAGAAGAGAAAATGAGTGGAAGGAATAGTCAACAAGTAGAAGAAGTTGTTGTGGTACAGCCAAGAACAACTCATAGGTTGCTTCAGGTGTGTATCTGCTTGTTTCATTTTCTTTCTTTTGGGGGGTTCTGTTGTTTGATTTCCTCAAGTTGTTGTGTGTTTAGGTTCTTGCAGGAACGGCCAAAAGAAAGAAATTGCTTTCTCTTAAGGGAATGGATGTGAGACCTATGATGGAAGTTGTTAAAGGAGCAGCTTTTGGGATTCTCCAGGTAAGAGTAATGAGAAATTGTGATTGAATTGTTCTGTGAGATTAGCATTCCAAGACTGAGTCTTTATCCTCATTTTGTAGGCTGCTGGTGGTTGTCCAACGTCTCTGCGTCCTGGTAGGTGGTTGGATTTGTACAGTGGTACAGGATCTGTTGGAATTGAAGCAATCAGTCGAGGATGTTCTGCGGTATTTAAGAAATAATATCTGTCTTGCATGATCTTGTTTGATTCTCTTTTATTTAAGTGATCACTAAACATGTGTTTCCATCTTGGGTTTGATTAATTTAAACACAGGCACACTTTGTTGAGATGGATCCTTGGGTTGTTTCTAATGTTCTACAACCAAACTTGGAACACACTGGGTTTGTTGATGCTTCGGTTATACACACTGCTCGGGTCGAAAACTTCTTGGAACGTGCAGATAAATTAGTAGGCATGTCTAGTCTTGAAGATGTTAAACAGTTTTAATTTTCATTGCTCGTTATTACTTGCAAACTTGAGCTTTCAATAGTATCGATTGGTTAAGATTATTTTTTACTATCAGGCAAGGATGGAGCATTTGATTATATCAGCGTTACACCACCTTACATGGAGGTAGATTATGAGGTTCTGATGGATCAGGTTGCTAAGTCGCCAGCCATTGGGGAAAATACATTTATTGTGAGTAGCTATGTATTTTCCTTCTTAAACCATCTTTGAAGGATTGGGTCAATGTGTAATATTCTTTCTCTTCCAAACAAAATCTGATATAGGTGGTCGAGTACCCTTCACGAACAACAATGCTTGATTCATGTGGATGCCTAGAAAAAGTAATAATTTCCCTTTTATTGCTTGTTTGATGAATGGGGTTGTATGAAGTATGAATGTTGATGAAACAAAATTTCTTGCAGATGACTGATCGAAGGTTTGGCCGGACACATCTGGCCATATATGGACCAAAATGGGCTCAGAAGCCAAGAAAATCTTAAAACCGCAGTGGAAATCAATGGTTACATCTGGTCATTTTTTTTGGTTAAAAGCAATGAACAGAGGCTAAGATTGAAGTGCTAGTTTATTCCACCTATTAATACTAGAGTAAGTTACAGACATATCAATGCTTTGACTTGCAGAATCTGCTTCTGTCATGTGATACAAGATCATTTCATTTTCATATCCTTTTCTTCCTGTCACATATTCTTAGTGTCTCAGTTTAAATTTTTGCAGGTGATTCTGTAGATCAGTCACCATTTTTGTTTGTCGCCAAGTCCTAAGATGGAAACAAGTTGCAGACTTATGATAATTGTAAAATCGGTAATGGTGTATGTTGCGATGTGTTTTTGTCACGCAGAGATATAGCTGTATGCAGTTGGAGATATAAAGTCATTTAGATTTTTCCTTTTTGTCCATTACATATGGCTTCTTTTGATACCCTTAAGGTCTGAGAGATCAACTTGCCAGACATGATTTCTATATGTATGTATCAGATACATCAATAACCATCTTAAGCATTTCTTCTAATATAAACAAAACCTTTACGACAGTGACATAACTGAGGTATGTGTCGAATCATTCTTTCCCTTCGTCTAATTTAATCTATTTTGGTAAACAACTCTTCAATAGAGCATGTAATTTGATATCTCTAGAGGGAAACAGAGGCATGTCTTTGCCCACACAATCACTGTGAGAATCAAATTTTATAAGGACACTATCCTGACCATGTGTAAGATCCCTAAATGATATAGAGGAAACAGATATATAGTAATGAAATTGTGGGGTCAGGTCTGTGTAAATTTTGGCTTTACTATGTAGAAGGCAAGCTTCTCTTTCCAACCAAGGCCAAAAAGAAGTTTGCTTGTGTCATGGAAACAAACTGGCTCAATCTTCCCTAGCTGTCAATCAGATATGGATTCTTTTCTTTACAATTTGGATATGTTTCTAAATATATTTTCTTAAGAGGTTATCTTTGCTGCTAAAATGGTTCTTGGTAGGGAGGGAATACTTAACAAGGAAGAAAATTGTGCTCTAGCTCCTTTTTCACAGGTTTGGTTCTTTAATTGTGCTCTAGCTCCTTTTCACAGGTTTGTGTTAGTTACTTAAGCGTTGTTACATACTTAATTGATTATCTTATTGTTTAAAGGAAACATCCAAGCGATCTAAGATAGTGGTAAAGGAAAGTAGTAGGCTTGCTAATACTCAGTCACAAAAGCTACACTGTCCTATGCTTTTAAATGGCTTATAATATATGTAGTTAGGGGAACTTGTGAGGTCCCCAATGGTTTGCTGCATGAAAATTCACAAATCAAAGCAAAGGAAAAGGTACTTAACGGGCCCATATGTTACATAAAGATATGTTTTTCTTAACTTTCACTTCCTCTTGCCTCCTCTCTCTCTTTCTCTACGTGGACAACTACGTATGTATATTGTTGCTTTGTGTGCTTCATCTTTAAATAGGGCCAATCACGGATTTGTCTTCCAAGGTATATAAAAACAACCTAAATGCTTGTTTTTTGCTTCCCATTTCGCTTTCCCCTTTTTTTAGCCTCTCCTGTCCAAAGATCTCTCTCTATTTATGTGACAGTCACTTCACCAACATCATGGATGTTCTGCTCAGTTTATTCTTGGGTTTGGTTGGTCAGTTGTTTATGTTAAACAGGAAGCTGTAGGGACATAAGGTTGCAGTATGGGTGGAAATGGCATTAGAGCTTTGGTTGGAGCTGTTTTGTATTTGGGTATGATTGTGTTTCTTCTTGTCGGTATCTTAGCAAACTCTGCATCAAGTGTTCCATCAACAGAAAAGGTCAAGACTCTGCGGTTCAGTGGTAAGGATGTGAATCTGTTTCATGTTAGCAAGCGTAAAGTTCCAAATGGACCTGATCCTATCCACAACAGGTTCTTAATCTTCCTCTTTCGAATTTTTCGATCTTTTACTTTTCCTTCTTATAGTTTGTTATCAGGTTTTCTTGAACTTGGTATTAGTGTTTCCTCAAATTCCAGATTTTTAAATGTCACTTTACACAGATACCAATAATCACTGGTTTCTAAAAAGATCATTACTTAGCATGCAGAATTGATGTTTCTTCCTTCTTTTCAGTGTCACTGGCACATTTTGTGTCCATTATAGAACTCTTGTCTTTTGAAAGCAGATAATGTTATCATGTTGTAGTCAAAAGCTTCTTCTTTCTCTAATTTTTATGCCTTAAGAGAAATTAAAGGCACTTGTGAATAACTTTGACCACTTTACTTAAAGTTCTACTACTACTGCATAAAGAACTCAACTTTACTGAGCTTTTGTTTAAAACTCATTTCTTCAGGAAAGCAGAAACTTCGAGACGGCCACCAAGAGTATGATAAAACTCCGATATATACTACGACGTGTATGGTTTGCAAACATTTAGGTCTTTCTACCGTTTCCAGACACATAGTGAATTACGCGACATCTCCATTGCATTTTTCACGTCAAGAAGCTACTCTTTTTCCTCCGGGGCAATCCAAAACTTTCAAATTCAGAGATAATGCTATGAACTTCATAGTTTTGTGAAGAAGTCTTGGCTCTGTTTTGCAAGGTCTCTTTACTTGCTCTGTAGCATTTGGGAAGGTGAAGTCTTTGCGCTCTCTCTCTTTCTTTTCTTTTTAGAACACTGTGTCTGAAGATTGAAGTCTTTCAGAGGATTGATGCAGATATTAAGAGCTTTGTAGGGTTTTGTAATAACATTTGTATTAATTATTATAGGCTTATGTCTTTTTATCTAACTCTCTATTTTTTCCTGTTTTCCTCATCTTTCTTTATATGCCTTTTCTTTAACTTTAAAGTTTGCTTTTTTATGTTTCCCTCTGGGCTTTAAAGCAAACCATTAAACTAAAGTTTGCTCTGTTTTCAAAATTTCAATTTCTTGATTGTTATTACATATATATATATATATCTCCCACTCCAATGTTATTGCTTCTTAATAGATGCTTGTCCTTGCACAACTTTAGAATCACATATGTATTCATTTTTGGGTTCTTCTGAACTTTGGGAATCTTATATTCTCTGTGTAATTTGATAGCATCTTACAAAGTGAAAATTACAAAAGGAGTGAGTGACCCATAGATGCAAAGCTTCTCTTTCTCTCTCTTTCTTTGCCTTCTTTAGCTTCTTTTCTGGGATTGATTTTGACTGTATCGAGAAGCAGACCCTCCTAAAGTAAGATTCTGCAGAGAAATCTTCTTTATCCTGTTTCTGCACTTTCTTTTTGTTCTTAAAAGAAAACACAAGTGAAAATTGTTTTTGTCACTCTTCCAAGACTGCAGCCAAGAAAGAAAAAACAAAGAAACCCATGTTTTGTCTCTTGGAACAGTTCTCTTCAGAAACACCAAAGCAACATAACATGTCTTTAAGACTTTGACAAAAGAGAAAACACATAACAATATACACTTCTGTTTTTTACAATAACATATAGTGTCTCTACATGTAGTACAAGGTGATATAGGCAACAAATAATTATAATACTCCTGATACATCTTCAATGTAATTTTTTCTTCTTTATTCCCTCACTCCCATAATCATCAAGGTTTCATTTCACGCAGTCTCGTTCTCTTGCGTGTCGAAAATTAAAGGGAAGTCGTCGTCTTGTTCCGAGAATGAATAACCTTGTTTGTCAGCAATACCTTTCAGTGACTGGTATGCTTGAAACATTGACCATCTCTCTTTAGGACTTGAACTCACACAATTACAAGCAATCTCAACAAATTTCAAGATTTCTTCGTCATGTCCTTTCCCCCGAATGTTTTCATCGAATGCATCGGTGAGTCTTCCTGAGCTTTCAAGCTGTCTCACCCAATCCACCAAAGTTCCTTTGAAACCTTCACCTCCTAGAGCTTTTTGCCCTGTTGCCAACTCCAAGAGGACAACACCGAGTCCATAAACATCGCCTTTTAGTGAGGCTAGCATTGTGGTGGAATATTCAGGAGCTACATACCCAAACTCTCCTAAGTCACCAGTCATGAAACTGCTCTCGTTGTTCTCCGAGTGAACCATAAGCCTTGCAAGACCTGAATCTATAATCCTTGCATCAAAATCCTCATCAATAAGAATCACACTAGAACAAATGTTTTGATGAAGTATTGGAGGTCTACATCCATGATGAAGCCAAGCAAAACCCCTTGCAGCACCTAAACCAATCCTAAACCGAGTCGACCAATCCAATTCAACCCCATTTGAATCCAGCAACGAGTGAAGCGTCCCGTTAGACATGTACTTATAAACAAGAAACTTCTCTTCTTCCACAATACAGAATCCAAGAAGTGGAGCTAAGTTAGGATGACGAAGCTCCCACAACTGATTCATCTCATACCTAAACTCCCTCTCCGCGAGCTTACATGTACCCAAATGCTTAACCGCAAGCGCTGAGCCATCAGGAAGAAGCGCCTTATACGTTGTCCCGGTTCTAGTGGAAACAATAATGTTCCCTGAGCTGAAATAATTAGTTGCAGCCATCAAATCCCCAAGTTTAACCTTAACCAAAGGCTTCTGAAACAAAGAGACTTGAGTAAGCTTATGACTACGAAGTCTCTGCCCTAAACTACTAACTCCTCCTTCGGTTAAACCGCCTCTTCGTCTTTTACTCCACTTCAAATGATAATACCACCAAATCCCAAAAGCCAACAACATTGATGCAGCAGCACCAAACACACCAGCTGCAATTATAATAGCAAGATTCTTCTTACTCAATCCACCACAGCTTGAAGATAAAGGACGACCACAAAGACCTTTGTTCCCCTCAAAATCATCAGATGAAAACCTCTGTGAGCTAAAGAACTCAGGTATACGACCTGTGAGACCATTGTTAGCTACAGAGAACCTCGTTAACCTCCCTAAAGCCGAGAACTGAACCGGGATTTGACCCGAAAGCCGGTTATCAGACAAAACCATAGAGTTCACAAAGCTACACTTAGCTAAATCAGGAGAAATCTCACCATTCAATTCATTGTTTGACAAATCAAGAGACACTAAAAAAGGCAACCAAGAACAGAGCTCTCTAGGGATGTTACCAGACAAACGATTACTAGAAAGATCCAATTTTTGTAAACTCCCACAATACTGAAGAGACTCTGGGACTTTACCAGACAAACCCATGTCTCTAAGCTCAAGATTGATAACCCTATTCTCTTGATCGTTCCAACAAGACACACCAACGAATTTACAGAGAAACCCAACAGTTGTGTTTGCAAAGTTCCATGATTTCAAGATTCCTTGAGGATCTGTAAGAGAGCTTTGGATTCCTCTTAAGCATCTTATGTCGTCTTCATCTGCAGCCATCGAAGGGTAAACAAAACAGAGGAAGAAGATGAGTAATAAAGGAAGAAGCTTTCTTGGTTTTGAGTCGATCTCTTCCATGGATGATGATGAAATGGTTTCAAAGGTCTCTTCTGGGTTGTGGGAAGAATTAAAGATTTGTACTTTTATTTGTGTTATCTGCCAATGAGAGTTGCAGAGAGAGAGAGAGAGACAATAAGCCTGTAAGTCATACTCAGACGTGTTGAACGGTCGTCGCAAGGATTATTAGAGTAGTCGTCGACTTTGTTGTCTTTTATTTCTAATTTAATTATTATTTATTATTGTTTGTTTATTCCTCACGACCGGAAAATTTAGTTATTTTTTATTAATAGTTTCAAAGCAATAAAAATGATATTTCGAGTATGTTTTATCTTTTAATTTTTATTCTTTAAGTTGACTTGTCTAATAGATTGATCCTTTTTTCATTAGTACGATATGTTTGTTAAATATATAATTTTGATCACAGTAATTTTGAAATTAAAAACAATGTTTCTTTTGTGAAACTAAAAACAAATACTCTTTATTTCCTAAAAGATAGTTTTTTTTTTGTTTTTTACATACATATTAAGAAAACATCTAAAATTTGATGATAATTGCGATATTTTTTTTTTTGTGATTCAAAGTTTTTTAAAATTTTAAACAATAATATTTATGAAGATGAATCTTTCTCGTCGGAATCTGAAGAGTTTCACCAGAGAAAGATCCGACAAAGGTTAAGTTTGAGGAAGAAAGAAGTGAAGATGAAGATGATGAGTCTCCTCAGCAGCTTCCTCTGAGGAAGCACTCATGTGTGATTTGTAAGAAATAGTTTAGCTCTGGTAAGGCTTACGGTGGTCATGTGAGGATCCATTCAACTAAGTACAACAACAAGGGAAACATGAAGAAGAAGTTGAAGATGAAGAACAAGAAGATAAAGATTGGTTTGGTGAAGAAAGACAAGGAGAAAGAGATAGATCTAATCACGACTGACATGGAAGGTAAGATTAGGTGTTGTCTATGTGGGAAAGAGTTTCAAACTATGCACTCTCTGTTTGCGCATATGAGAAGACATCCTGACCGGAGTTGAAAAGGGGTAGGACCTCCTCCACCACCGGAGAAGTTCAACCTAAGCTACTTGGGATGATGATGAAGAGGATGATGATGGTGAGGAAGATGGGAGGATGATTCTGGTGTGAGGAGTAGATCCATGATGATGAGTGATGTGACTCAGGATGTTCAAGAAGATGTTTGTATTCTAATGATGATCTCTTACACTTCAAACAATTGCTATGATGGGATAAAGAAAAATATGGAATCACCCAAATCCGAGTATGAGGATAGAGATGAAAACTGAAGTGAAGGTGAATAATCCTCGAGATGAAGCTAAAAGATCCTTAGGGTTTGATCTCAACCAGCCTCCTCACCATGAAGATCATCCTTATTCCTCTTGGAACTAGTTGTGGTTTTCAATCCATGGAGTAGCTTTCAAATAATCATGTTTTAACATATTGTCCTATGAATTTTACATCTATATGCATGTGTTATCCCTAACTAGGCTTTTGTACATAATGAAATCCTTGTTTGGTTCAAAATAAATAAATAAATAATATTTAGTTATTTATTTTGAAATTTGTAAATCTTAATTAATAATGCATTGATAATTTAAAACAATTATCTTTTTGAAACAAATTTTATCTCCTAGAAAAATCATCTTTTTTAGGATTGAGTAGTAAAAATCAAAATACTAAAATGCTTTTGGTTTTGGTCTTTCTTGACATTTTGGTTATAAGTATGTTATTGTGTGTCAATATATTTAGAAAAGATATCTAGGTAAACGTCATTAATATTTAGACACTTCGTAAAACACTATTTGCAATTATTAGTCCAACGGACTGCACACTATTTGCACTAATTATCCCAAATGACATATTTGGATTACACTATTTGCAATTATTAGTCCAAATGATATATTTTGATTACAACAATAATATAATGGACAAGAAGGTAAACTATCTAACACATTAATTATACATATGTAGACGTCCTTCAATTTATATGTCGTGGAAGAACTTCTATTTATATGTCGGATTTCTTACTTCTTTCTTCACTTTCTATCCTTCCTTTAATCTCTGTTCTGGTATAACACAATCAAACAATAACATGAGTGATTACGTTCGCAAGTCTTTGCAAAATCTCGATTTGGGGATAAATGATGAACCGGTGCCTCTTCCATCGGATCTTTGTGGACGTGCGGTGAATGCCAATCGGTTTTCTCTGATTGTTTCAGTGGTTAATCCTAAGAAACAAAACCTCCGTGCCATTGTGAATCAAATGCTGAAAATTTGGGGTTTTGTTGATGATTGTCGTGGTCGCGTTTTGGGTGACGGAAGGGTCTTGTTCATCTTCAAATCGGAAGAGTCAATGAACTTGGTTCTTCGTCGGGGTCCTTCGGCGTTTAATGAGTGGATGCTAACTGTCCACAAATGGTATCCGAATATCAGTGAGGATGGGATGAAGATCATACCGTTTTGGATCCAAATAAAAGGAATTCCGATCATGTATTTGTCGACGGCGATGGTGAACTGTATTGGTGATAATCTGGGTCATGTGGCTGGTGTTGATTTTGATGAGAATGTGAACTGGGTTGAATTTGTTCGAGTGTGTATCAATTGGAGTATTGATTCGCCGTTACGTTTTCAGAGGAATTTCCAATTTGTCGCTGGTGAGAACACGATCCTCAAGTTCCGGTTTGAAAGACTTCGCAACTTTTGCTCCCGCTGTGGTTCTCTTAAACACGATGCGAAGGAGTGTGAGATGGAGTTTATGGATGCTGCTGCTGAAGAAGACGACAATGGTGATCACGAAGACAACCCAAATGCAGATAATGTCGACGAGCCTGAGAATGAGTACAACCCGGCTGAGCCTGCTTTCAATCCTGATGGTCCTGCTTATCACCTTGATGCTCCGGTTTACAACCCTATGGAGCCTCCAAACCTTCCGGAAGGTGCTGCATATGATACTATATCTCTGGAAACTGTGGACCATGCTGCTCTAATCCCAGGACTGCAACTGTTTCCCACACGCAAACGCCACCAAGAGTTCATCATCACAGAGTCAGATGACTCTTCCCTGCCAAGCGCCTTTGAAGACACGGAATTAACTGCGGAACGACTTCGTTTTTTGCATTCCAAATTTGCAAAAGAAAGGGAGTGTGCTGATAACACTTGGACAGACACGGCTTCAAAAGTTTGCTTAGCATCTGTTTCTAACTGCAAGAAGAGAAAGAGCTTGGAGTTCTACTACCAACGTTGTGAAGAATCGGAGGATTTGGCGGCCCTGAGCCATATCCATAAGAAGGAGAAGACTGAATCGTTTGGATCAAGCAGCAGCCCAGCTGTGAACGGAGGCGCGGGGGGCCCGGTACCCCCATTGTTCCCCCCATGAGAGTCGTCTCATGGAATTGCCAAGGAGTTTGCACTCAGCTGACTCAAATGAGATTAAAACGTTTATGTCGTATTTTTAAACCTAATGTATTATTTCTGTGTGAAACACTAAATAAGTGTGATGTTGTGTGTTCTTTTGCTTCTATTTTAGGATTTTCTAATGTTATAACTGAACCACCTATTGGAAGAAGTGGTGGTTTAGCAATGATGTGGACAAATAATGTAAGTTTATCCAAAGTTTCTCAGGATGAACGTATGATTGATGTTCATATCAACTATAATAATATAAGTTTTTATTTGTCTGGTGTGTATGGTAATCCAGTTCAAAGTGATAGACATATGTTTTGGGATCAATTACAAACGTTAGGTAGTACTAGAAATGCTCCTTGGATACTTGTTGGTGACTTTAATGAAATTTTAAATAATAATGAAAAGATGGGAGGTCCTTTGAGGGAAGAATGGACGTTTAGAGATTTTAGGTCCATGGTTACTTCTTGTAATCTTCAGGATCTTACGTCCAAAGGTGATCGGTTTTCTTGGGTTGGAGAACGACGTAATCATACGGTTAAATGCTGTCTTGATAGAGTCATGGTGAATGAAGAATGGGCAGCTACCTTTCCTACTGCTTTAACGGAGTTTTTGGGCTTTAATGGCTCTGATCATAAGCCAACATACACTACATTTACTTCTACCTACACAAATCACAAAAAACCCTTCCGTTTTGATAAGAGATTGATTTCCATTCCTGATTTTGATCTTATTGTGGAAAAAGGATGGAATCTATGTAAGGCTAATCGATCATATTCTATTGGTGATCAAATCTATGATTGTCGACTAGCTATGTCTAAAGGGAAACACATGTCCAACATCAATGCAGCCAAACGCATAGTATACTTTCAAGATGTCCTCAACAAGGCTATGGAGAGTATGAATCGTACTCATCGTCAACAAATACCAAAGCTGCAAAGAGAGCTCCAGTTAGCTTATAATGATGAAGAATATTATTGGAAAAATAAAAGTAGAAATACATGGATGACTCTTGGAGATCGTAACACTGGGTTCTTCCATGCGAGTACGAAAACTCGATACGCTAACAACTTTATTTCACTTATTCGAGATGACCACAATAATATATATCAAGGAGACAAAGAAGTTGGAGATCATGCCCAAGAGTATTTCACTAATGTATATACATCGAGTAATACTCCAGTAGCACCTATAGATTTTGGTGATTTCCCTCCCACTGTTTCTTCGATCATGAATGATGACCTCACCAAAGATTTTAGTGCTGCCGAAGTGTTTGAAGCTGTTTCTTCTATCGGCGATGATAAGGCACCAGGACCTGACGGATTGACTGCTCGTTTTTACAAACAATATTGGGGGATCATAGGAGATGATATAATTATGGAAGTTAAAGATTTCTTTGCAACCTCCTTTATGAAACCAGGTATCAATCACACAAATATATGCATGATACCTAAAAATGACAAACCATCCACTTTATCGGATTACAGACCCATTGCCTTGTGTAATGTACTTTATAAAATAATTTCTAAATGCCTAGTAAATCGGTTAAAAAAACATCTAAATGGTATAGTTTCAGACTCTCAAGCTGCTTTCATTCCGGGTCGACATATAAATGATAATGTTATGATTGCACATGAGGTGATGCATTCTTTAAAAGTAAGGAAAAGAGTTTCACAAAATTATATGGCCATTAAAACTGATGTTACTAAGGCTTATGATAGAGTGGAATGGGATTTTTTGGAGGTTGCGATGAAATTATTTGGTTTCTCGGAAATTTGGATTAATTGGATAATGGCTACAGTTCGTTCTGTCCGTTATTATATTTTAATCAATGGCTCTCCACAAGGTTTAGTCGTTCCAGAGAGAGGTATTCGTCAGGGGGACCCTTTATCCCCATATCTTTTTATTCTATGTGCTGACATTATGAGTCACCTTATTAGAACTCGAGTTAAAGATGGAGATATTCGTGGAGTTCGAATAGGCAATGGTGTTACACCAATAACTCACCTCCAATTTGCTGATGACTCTCTTTTCTTTTGTCAAGCAAATGCTAGAAATTGTAAAGCTATTAAAGAAGTTTTTCAAGTCTATGAATACTACTCAGGGCAAAAAATTAATATGACTAAATCTCTTATAACTTTTGGCTCAAGAGTAGATGGACATACTCAAACTAGACTAAAAAACATTCTAAATATTCCAAATCATGGGGGTGGGGGAAAATATTTAGGTTTGCCGGAACAATTTGGGAAGAAAAAGAAAGAAATGTTCACTTACATTATTGATCGAGTCAAACAACGTACTTCTACTTGGAGCGCAAAACATTTATCACCGGCTGGAAAAGAGATAATGTTGAAGTCAGTCGCTTTGTCAATGCCTGTATATTCGATGTCTTGCTTCAAATTATCGCTTGGTATTATAACGGAAATAGAATCGGTTCTTCAGAAGTTTTGG